AAAAAAAAAAAAAAATTATTCCCCGTCCATCTAACTAAATACAAAAAAAAAAAATATATCATTTCTATTTTTCATCATTAAATAATAAAAAATGTATTCCCCTACTTTATATCCTTTCTAGGAGAATAGCTAGTTGCACGTGACAAAGGCAAGCAGTACCTTCACCCGGAGGTCTTAGGGTAAATTACATCCATATCTACAAGGTTTGGTCAAATTAACAAGAAGACCTCCTCAATAATGCCGCACTTTCCTCCGTTTTGATTGGTGATAAACCAGTCTCATATCTACTACATTAATAACTTAAACTTGTTTCCAAACAAACTATTTCCTGTCACAAACGAGACCACCAGGAGAATTATAACATTTCTAATTAAAAGCAGAAGTGATGTAACCTCCATATAACCCACACACACGCACTCTCTAAAACTATCCAATATGGGATAGCTTCAATTCATCACCACTTAAATTGATGCTTGTTCAAACTCCATAATGGAGTAAGTAAATGAGTAGTGACAATCAAAATTCCCCCCCCCCCCACCCTCTCTCTCACACAAACACACCCTTATCCACTAACATATTATACGTACACACAATTAATAATTTCTGTTTACAATAATGAGTTAGAAGTTCTTAAAAAAGAGTGCAGTGTTATTTTTCATTTAAGAGAGGATCTCATTGTTATTTAACTATATCTCAAGGGAAGTGAATGTAATTTATCCAAAGTTCCATTATTTTCTGTGGGTCCCGCTACCAAAAAATATCATGTTATATTTTTATTGTTGAATAAATAAGATTGTACCACGTATATAATTTTTTTATATTTTTTCTATAAACAATTACAAAGTATTCAATACAAAACTCAATGAGGTACCGACCATATCGATATAGTAGAGTTACCCGTGCACGACAAGTAATTCTGATTTTTTTATGTTTGATTTTGCAAAAAATAAAAAATAAATATGACTAAATTTTTAATCTAATTCAATTATCAAATCTAGATTAGAGATTAAAAATATGTTACTCACCTGGAGTAAACTCGGAATCATTCATTATGATGTAGTATATAAATATTTTTTGAGTTGAAAAATATAAAAAGATGTTTAGTTTAATGGACAAAAATTCAAAATTGTACTTAAGAAATTGTTTGGCCTCGGAACAAGGTTTTTCAAAAACTTAATATACTTCTTGAGAGATAACAATTTTTGTCGCAATACAATAAACATGATTTGAAATCGATACGAATTTAGTTGGTTAGAGTTAATTATTTTTTGACACGAATTCGTACATGATACAACCCGTTAACACGAATAATAAATAAGTTGGGTTAATGTCAAATATGAACAATACGAAATTGACACAATTAATAAGTTTAAGTGGTATATGTGCAATGCACGTCGTGTATTGCACATAAACAAATTTAAATAATATTATTTTATAAAAAATATAAATTATATATGTAATTAAATTAAATAAAAAGTTAAGTGTCATATAATTAATTCATATTTTAATTATTAATTTATTCTATAAGTTTTTGAGTACATTTAGGTATCTCTCCTACCCTTTTAAACATTTGCACATCTAATTATATATTATAGAATTACGAATCATAACCCGTGTCTGAAGATATGATAAAACATAAAATTTGAGCACCTAAAAAATTAATCTCATTATATTAAAATTTTTCAATATGTGTATACTATCGTATACAAGTAATGTTTGAAATAAAAATTATGTTAAATTATAAATTAATTAAATATTAAATGATTGAACATGTGATAAAAATGAGTGATGTGATATTTTTAAGAAGAAAATATGTAGGGGATAAAAATTCAAGTTGCTATGTGTTTTATTATATAGGTTAATTTTTATTTTGTTAAATAGATTAATTAAATCACTTATAATATTATTACATACCAAAAATAAAATATAACATATATTTGTCCGTATAAGACTTTACTTCTTCATATAGATATAGATAATTGTGTCTAATTGAATTACTAATAAATGAGTTCAAAAAAATTTAAAAGTCTATATAAAAGAGTTCAAATAAGTTAAAAGTCAAATATGTGTAAAAACAAAAAAATAGATGAAGTAGTATATAGGCGGATATAATTGAGTTTATTATAATAATTATGGATAAAATAGAAAATTAAAAAAATTTAACAGATGCTGACATTTATAAGTAGTATCGAATCTATATTTTTATAGATATATATTATATATAAGAATGAAATATCATTTCTTTATTATATTTTATCATATAGTGACCTAATTCTTAAACAAAAAAAATAATTTTACTTATTTTTATTATTATATTTATTAAGTTAATTTTTATCTTATAGAAAAAGTATGAGCATAAATTGAATTAAATGATATCAAAATTTTAAACATGAAACTGAGCGTTAAATTTTTTATTCACGGGTTATATGGGTCAATACAAACACGACACAAAAATAAATAAATCAACACAACACACACGTTTAATTAAACATGTTAGACTAGGATTAATTAGTGTTCGCCACGAATCCTAAATGACATTACTCAATAGAACATGTTTGCCACCCCTAATTTGATTAATAATAAATCCAATATCATACCCGAACTGAATATTAATTAATTGATGACAATAAGTTCTCAAATTAGATTTGGACATTGCTTTTGAATTTATATACTTCAATTCGAGCTTAATAGTGAAAAAAAAGCACATTCGAACATATGATCCGGAGTCTAAATCAAGCTTCAACATAAACACATAACTAAGCTCGATTTGGGCTCCAATTGGTGATAGATAACTCAAGCCAAAGCTTCGAAATACTGAGACTCAACTCAATTTCGAGAGAGAGAGAGAGAGAAACGCAATCGAAATAAAATTCATTTTCTTGAAAAATAAATACTTTGCTGCATTCAATAGTTGCCTGCATTCAACAGTACATAACATAAAAACAAATGACCTGATAAGAAAAAATACAAGCATATTTGATGCTACAACAATATGAAACATACAGAAATTTTATCACCAGACTAAGTGCTTCCAAAATGCAAGAATCATCATGCCCTTTCCTTCCAGTAGTCTATGCACTAGGCCCACTTTAGCTATATTGAAGCTTCTCTGTTATCTCCAACACATCAAGGGAGCAACCTGGCAATTTGTTCATACTGAGTTCCAACTTTCTAGCTGTCTTCTACATATAAGTAATGAGATCTTAATAGATAACAGTACCACCATGTGCCATAGATGGAACTTGCTCTGATCCGAGCCCTCAAAGATTAAGGCCGGGTTAAACTAACACACAGTTGGAGCTGATCCCGCAGCTTGAAATTGGAGGTGGTGCCCTCATCCAGATGCTCTGAATGAAGGCTATCATCTGCACAAATACATTTGGCATCACATTAACAGGCAAAGAAATACAAGTACATTGACCCAAAAGGGCAAAAAATAAATGATAAGCGGAGGTTGTTTGAGCTGTTATGTAAGGATGTATTATACACCTATAGTCTATAGACAGTAAATTGGTGTAACGGGAAGGGCAATAATTGTATAAACTCTGCTTGCAGCGTGTTGGCTTTGGATAGAACCAAAATTATAGAACAATGCTCGTGGTCAAACTAATGGAGCATAAGTATCAATGCAAACGGTTGGGATGAAGGTGCCAAAAAACACATTCTGGACCTTGTCTTGGCCAGCAAATTGTTATCTTTTAAATTGCTGTCCTCTTGTACATTTTTTTTTTAATTTGTGCGAAGTTAAAAAAAACATTGATACTCCTCTTTGGTGGCCTAAGACGTCAAGGTAGTAACCCCTGAAACATTCTCATTTAAGCTACCCTGATGGACTATATTCATAATTATGTCAAGAAAGCACTTACCACCACAAAGCTAGCACACAAAATGCTGAAACCAGGGAATTGAAATGGCGCATTATCGGACAGGAACAAAGCTGGGAAACAGAAGAACTTCATTAGTGTAAATGACTTCCATGCCCGACAAAATTTAAAAACCAAGATTTCAGGCACCTGTCAGAGGACTGAAAACCAAGGGAGAAACAATATTCGCAACCGAAGCAATGCCAGCAATGCATCCTTGAGCCTTACCCTGGAAATATTTTTAGAAAATTAAGGAAAAGAAGTAGAAGCACATGCAATGGGTCCAAAGTGACAATGTCAAGTGTTGGGTGGAGGACATATAATTAGACATAATAAAGTTGAAATGCAGGAGTTGATTTTTTTTCTCTTTCTCGTTTGAAGTAAGCTACTTGTATGGATGGATTTGCATACACGTCCTCTGGTGTTAAATTATCTTTGCTACGTCTTTCTTCTAAGTACCAATGCCACCAGCCGAAGTAATAGAAGGAAGAAAAATACTTCAATAAGATTGGAATATCTGTTATAACAGTTCAAATCCCAAATCCTGTCCAGATCAGCTATATAGCCACTCTTTAATAGATTACCTGCTCACTGGGCCCAATTTGTTTGGAAACAATGCTCCGTAACTGCAAAAATGATAACTTCAATTTGATAAATGTAATCTTAAAATAATGATAAAGAATTATATAATCAGACTCAAAGGACTCACACATGGTCCCCCAAAAACAGCCAGAGCAGAGAACATGGCAGCAGCATAAGCGACCTATTGGACTTCAAATATTAGCAAAACTAAGACATGACATTAGGTAGCTAACTGCGCATATATGGCAATAAAAAATTTCAAAAACTTCCACTTATAGCATGAAAAGTAAAATTTGAAGTCCATAGTTAGGCAGCAGGAAAATACCCAGGAGGACCATGCGATGCTGTAAAGCACGATCTGCATTCAAAGCCATCGATCAGTCAATGAAAGCTTACTGAGACATCTCATATGGTCATATTATTATATTTCAAGGTGTAGTGAGCAACTATTGATAAGCATTTGCACGCATGGGCAGGCCATAAACTTTATGAAACATGGAGGTAACTGAATGCAGAATAAGCAAGGTGCGTACATGTATACAACTAAAAAAGAGCCCTGTTGCGAGCAGCTTCTCCTCTCCTATGAGAGGAACCAATAGGGGCATAAGAACCATCTGCAGCAGAAAACCATAAGCAAAAGCAATAGGCGAAAAGAATAATGGAAGAGATAATAGAGACAATGAAAAGAAAGCTTGCAACACATACCTGGGATATGGTCCCTGCAACCCCATTGATGATCATTAAATCAGCAAACTGGTCTTTATCGAAGTGAAATTGGGCCTTTAAAAAGAACTGCACAGGATTACATGAAAATTTTCAGGTCAATGGAAAGAGTGTTGAATGTACAATTATACTTGAAGAATCTACCTGCAGATATTTGTTCAATAGAACTAACGGAATTGATATAATTAGAAAACTAGAAAATCGTAGAATATTAATTTTAACACTTACCTAATAATAAACATTTGAATTTACAATCTTATTAAGAAGATTCCTCTGACAATAATGTCAAAACCTTAAAATTGTAAACCTGGAAATTATCTCGTTAAAACTGGCTACTACGTAACACAACTAGTGTTCGTAGAAAGGAGAGATGGTTGGCATCTCCCATGACAGGGACGGGAAAAGCATTTGGGCTTACATGTGACCAACACATCTGGTTAAGGCTACCCACTTCAGTGAATCTACGTAACACAACTACATTGTCAGCAAAGCATCCATTTAAGATGACATGTTTGAAACCCTCTAGGCACTAAAAAGGGAGCCAATTTATCATGCACATATGCTTAAGAATTTTTGTGACAAGGTTGCTCCATTATGATGTGGGTGTCAAGAGTTCGAGTCACGAAAATAACTTTCCTACAAAATGCATACTGTTTCATGAAATCGAGACTTTATGATGACATTATCCAAGAGAGGCACTCGAAAAAAACTGATACATCATTTGCTGGAATATGGCTCACCATCCTGTGTCAGATTCAAGCACTTAGACCCAAACGATTGCAACACAGAAGCACTATTTCAAACTTGTAGGGAGCCTTGATTAATTAAGTCTTTAAAAACTTGCAATGACCCAAGATGTACCAAACACAAGCACGGCCGGCTATACCCAAATTACGGAGAATACCATATACAAACATACTTTTGATCAGATCAAATGGTATCTTAATTTTTCTGTTGATCACACTTTGAAGTGGTCACAAAAAATGAGGGAATCCTAGGCCACAGGGAAATGTACTACTAGAAGGGCTTCATAAGCTTGTAGTTCATGGGATTTGAACCTTAAATAGCCCATTCCAATATAGGCTGCCCTTATTATTGCAGGAGTAAACAGGTCCAAAACATCATATGAGTCCTTATGTGGAGTAATACAGCTCAGAATTAGTGCAAGACCAACAAAAAAATTGATTTCTAAATCATGGGAAAAGGAGAAGTACCATTAAAGCAGAATAGAGGCCAAATTCCCCGAGGCTTGTAAAGAATGCGACAATAGCTGCTTGTGAAAATGTCGAGCTGAAAAATAAAATAAAAGAACCAATTTGATCCTAAAGCGACAATACAAGCAACCGAAATTTAGGCATAAAAAATGGAGCAAAAAACAAGCGAGAGAGAAAGAGTGAGAGAGAGTCTTACCTACTCCTCAACAAACTCATAGTATCTTGAAACAAAGACAATATTTTGAATAGTCTAACGTTTTTTGTAGGACCTTTGTCCAAAAGACTATCATTCTCTGTTGCCTTTGTAGAAACTCCCAGCTCCGTGATCGACTCTTTAAGGAAAATTCTCATGTACACTAGTGATACCATCGCCATTGCTGTTGCCACCTAGATCATCAACAATCCTTCCATAAGTAAATGACCCATGTATGCTTACACACACACACACACACACACACACACACACATATATATAGACAGAGAGAGAGAGAGCGAACTTGGAAAGCCGTGGGTGTGGAGATGAAACGAGTAAACAGGTTTCCGCAGACAAAAGCACAGGATGAAATGCCGGATAGGATTCCAAACGCCGATGCCCGTCGATTCTCCGGAATATTATCCGCCTGAAATCAAGTTTCAAAGAGAACAAATGGGATTATAGCAAACACCAAATTCAATCAATTCAGGTACACTCTGAATCTGCGAAGACACATTGCGAACTACTGTCACTTTTTGGTCAATGCTACAAAATACAAATCGTTAGAGAGAGACAGAAAGAGAATTACCACATAAGCGAGGGCAATGCACGCAACACTTCCTCCACAAAACATGGAGGTGAGAGTACTAATCGCGAAGTAAGCATAGAAGAAACCGGCTGTCCTGCTGTATGCTAATATTCCTGCAACCAAAACTCAACATCGCATCTTTCAGTGCACTTAATCTTAATCTTTGCCACATGTATGGAATTTGGATTCAGGTCGGTATCTCGTTTTGGGGTGCAACGTGGGCTGGCTACTCCGATTTTAACCCGTGTCCGATCCAAAAAAATTTAGACTTAATCTAGGGTTTTTAATATTTGGATTAAACTTGGGTCAAAAATCTCCAACCTAAATTCAATTTAGATGGGCATCGGATTTTGAGTTGAACCCAAATATAAAAATCGAGTTCAACCCTATTTAATATTCGAGTTCAACTCGAATATTCATAACTATATAACTTTAGGGTTAATCTGTTCTGAAATCTTTATTATACACCTCCTTCACTCATTATTTAAGCAGTGAATTCTATGTCTGTACAAAGATTATGTTTGTATTTATTTGTACTATGTATGGTTGTGGTTGTATTATCTCAAACATTGAGCTCTTAATATTATGATTTTTATGTTAAAAACTTGATTGAAGTTGTTGGTTGTTAATTTAGGTGAATATTATGTAATATATGTATCATGTATAAAACAACAAATTTATTTTGGTCTCAACCTGAATTAAACTCATAAAATAACTCAAAATCATTAACCCGAATTCAATTCGAGCTAGCCTGAATTAAACTCAGGCAATGTTCAAGTTGAATCCCTCATCCCGAGGTAGGGGTAGGGTTAGAGTTAGGGTTAAGATTAGAATTGAAGATTATATACCTAAAATTGAGTTAGGGTTAATTGTACAACTCCCCCGAGTTGTACCCCTATCTCCTTTACACTCAATATTTATTTATTTTTTATTCAATAATACTTATTTTTTGAGTATACATATAGTCTTTAAACTAAGCTCTTAATTTATTTTTATTTTTTTGGATCAATTAAGTCTCTAAATTTTTTAATTGTGTCAATTGAATCATTCTATTTGTCTCCGTTACATAAATGAGTTAATGTAAATTATATATATGACTTATGTCTTTTTGTGTCATATAGTCACGTGAGTGATACACTCTAATGGAAGCTAACATAAAGACTCAATTAATATAATTAAAGAATTCAGTGACTCAATTGATACAAAAAAAAACTCTGGTACTTAATTGACATACAAATCATAATTTGAGAGTGATATGTATAATTTACTCTTATATTTTTATTTAAAATGATTCGTTATAACTCGAATAATTCAATTAGAGATAAATTTTATTAGATTAGTTTCCAATTTTAAAATCAATTTTGTGAAAATAGTGGGTCAAATTACAATTAATAGTGGTAAAATATGATATGATAAATTTATAATTAAATTCAGACAATTTGATTAAACAAATTAATTCACATGGACTAATAATAATTTCTGAATCCTATCTATTTTGAGGCTAAGCACAAGTGTGGTTTTTATTTGGGCCTATAGGAGACATCCCATAGTTGGACTTGCACTAATGGCTACTTTTTGTAGGGCTAGTGGGCTTCAATATCTTAGTTACGTTTCCTCATTATGGGTAGGCCCCATTTTATCATTGGGTCGGAGTCTTGGAAGCCCTTCTCAATGGCGGGTCCACATTTCTGGATAAAGTTGTGGGTTGGTCAGTCAATTGACAAGTCAAGTGGTTTGTCGAATAGTTGATAGCATTCAAGCACACTTCAAACCAATTTGGACCGTAGATGATAATGCAACCCAAAAAGCAAGCCAGATAATAACTGAGGAACTAACTCTAACAATAAACAAAAGAAAAGAGAAGGAAGGAAGTAAAAAACAAGGACTTAATTTTGAATGCATTTACCTCACTCATCATCTCTTTGTCAGACTCAAACATCAAATCACATCATTTATTTTTATCACATATTTAATCATTTATATATTTACTCCCTAAAAATATCACACGACTCATTTATATCATATATTTAATCATTTAATATTTAATTAATTTGTAGTTAATATATTTTGAAAAAGCTTAATATAGTGAGATCGATTTTTTGGACGCTCGAATTTTATATTTTATCGTGCCTTCACGCACGAATTATGACTAATTTATTTATATTTCAACATGTTCCCTTGTATAGAGGCTAAATTTTTGGCATAGTACATAAAAATCTTTTTAATAATTAAGGTAGTAGTGAGATTCAAACACATAATTTCCTGTTATGAAATCATGTTAAACAATAATTTACTATAAAACTAAAGAAATTAGAGAGATTATAACTTAAATATTTATTCTTCAACAGATAGGACACGGTAAAAGAGGCAAATTAAGTACAAATATCACATTTGACATTATTTACTTATAACAAAATCGCCTCAACTATTCGTTAGATAATTTTGATTAAAAAGTAACCCAGTTTAATGTAATTTTGTACTCCTAGTCTTTTTTCTTTTCTTTTTTTTTTTTGTCTTATTTAAGCAGGAGTGCTTTTTCTTTTAGAAAAATGTTTGATGATATATTCTCTTTCGGTAGAAGTTCTTCTTCTTTTAGAAAAATTGTGGTCGATATATTCATTTCATGTTCCTCTCCTTTTTGTATAGTTTCTTCTACCAATCTTTTATAATTGATGGTGTCACTAACACTTATCTTTACCAATGTTACATCATTTTGAATGTGACACTGATAGTGGTGGTGGTGCCGACAATGCTAAAGGTTGGTTGCTTATTCATCATCCAACATTGACAACTCTCAGCAACCACCATGGTCATGGAGTTCATTGACACCAACTTTCCGGCCGGCAAGTCTCTCTTACTTTTCATGGTGACCCTGACTTTATACCCACTCAAACTACATGTCTAGAATGTCCCACAGACAAACCACCCCCATTTAGTTGATCCTTATGACCCAATTTTTTAATTTTTTATTGCAGAGTTTTTAGATTTGCGCCGATTATTCCCTCAAGTTCAACGACTGACCACAGTACTTTGAGATGATCTAGATCATGTTTTCAAAGTGATTAGGGTGGTTAGTCCTTAGAGAGTGTGGAAGGGATTATATTTGAGATTTCTAAGTTACCAAAGTCCAGACTCTACCATTGGACGACCCTTAAAAGAGTAATGATATATGAATTTAAAAATTAGACTTATGACCCAATTGACCCATGATTTGACTGTTGAAATATTTTATTAATCTATTTGGAAGATGATTATATGACTTATGACTAACTAGATTCTGCACTAAAATCATTGAAAACATTTTGTAATCCATAAAGATTCAGGTTTGGAGAGAAAGAGAGAAGGGGAGGGGATAAAACACTTTTTTTCTTCTGATGGTTGTTGTACTAATCTGTTATTTTCTTAACGAAAGCATAAACTTTTTGATAAGTATGTTTCAGGAAGTCAAACTCGAACCTACAATCTCATAATAGTCTGTTTTTGAAACTCAATCGAATTATGAATATTAAAATTAGAATTGATGAAAATATAACTGGCACAAAGAAGTTGATGAATTACCTAAGGGAATAATGGTGAGAGTCATAGGGAGAGTGAGCATTACTTTCCTTCCATAAGTGTCGGACAGATTGCCCATCAGAGGCATCATCACCAGTGTCCCCAACCCTGTGATCTGCATAGTTTACCCATTCCACTTTAATTATAATAATCAACCCATGATTACATGGCCACCAGTAATAGGAAATTGACTTGAAATATGAATTTCAGGCACATAATTAAATATTTAAAATGAAAAAAAAAAAAAACCAGGGTGTCCAATATTCATTCCCAATTATAATGAACTCTACAAAGTTCATATTATTATATAGAATTTTTTTTTTTTAAGTTAATACATTGTGTATAGTCCAAGCGATTGATTAACGATTACCGACGTGCTTAGACAATGAAGCATTAAGATAAATGGGTGATTTCTCTTAAATAAGAAGTGATTACATAAAGACATAAGGATTTCTGATTAGGAAAATGAAATAAATTGAACTTGAGGATGACACTTGGGCCATGTTTGGATGTTCATTTTGGGGGGGGGGGGGGGGGTTTGGACTGGATTTATGAAACATTTTCAAACTTAGTCTTAAGAACTTGTACATGGAATTAAAAAAAAAAACCTATCAAATATCATGTTCGGTAAATTGAGTAAAATGATAGGTTTTTTATGTGAATATAAGAATAAATTTTTAGATAAATTAGTCTTTTTGTCTTCAAATCCAATCTTACGAAACTCGCCCTTCTCATGGGTGTCATCAAGCCCCTATTTGTGGACATACAGGCCTGTGAGCTATTTACCTTATAAATTGTGAGCGTTAAATCTTGAATCAAATACGAGTTTAAAAAGTGTATTGAACTATTTTTACAAAACTCATCCCTTAAACTCTATATAAACACAAATACCAAATATGCCCTTGGTCTTTTGGCATTGGAACATGGGCGTGTGTGTCTAATTGCAAATATAGATTCTTTTGGACAATATGATTCCTAGGAATTTCATTGGGCAGTTATGTAAAGTTTAAAGAGAAGTTGAAAGGCGAAAGGACCTCATGTGATGAGATTCTGAATTATCACATTGGTTGTCTGTGCCTAAGAGCCAAACACAAGCTCCATAACCACCAACATTGCTTTGACAAGATGGCTTTATGCCGGTGGAGTGCCACTTTGACAACTTTGAGTTGTATTTTTTAGATTATATTTGAATTGTGTAGTATTTTTATTTTTTAGTGATGGTCTTAAATTTGAAAATATAATTAATTTTACTAGTAAAAGCTAAAGAATTGGTTTTTTTTCCCCTTTTGCAAAAGAATTATGTCGAAAGTGAAACTTCAAAAACTAAGATTGATTAAACGTTCAATTTCATAAAGTTATTATTTTGAAATGGAATTCAAGGTTAGGAGTTTAGAGGGAGCAGATACTTTTGTTCTTCTCTCATTAATTTCATTCGTCTGACCCCCCCCCCCCCCCCCCCCCTCCTCCCNAGTTGAAAGGCGAAAGGACCTCATGTGATGAGATTCTGAATTATCACATTGGTTGTCTGTGCCTAAGAGCCAAACACAAGCTCCATAACCACCAACATTGCTTTGACAAGATGGCTTTATGCCGGTGGAGTGCCACTTTGACAACTTTGAGTTGTATTTTTTAGATTATATTTGAATTGTGTAGTATTTTTATTTTTTAGTGATGGTCTTAAATTTGAAAATATAATTAATTTTACTAGTAAAAGCTAAAGAATTGGTTTTTTTTCCCCTTTTGCAAAAGAATTATGTCGAAAGTGAAACTTCAAAAACTAAGATTGATTAAACGTTCAATTTCATAAAGTTATTATTTTGAAATGGAATTCAAGGTTAGGAGTTTAGAGGGAGCAGATACTTTTGTTCTTCTCTCATTAATTTCATTCGTCTGACCCCCCCCCCCACCCTTCTTCTCTTCTCTCAACCCCACCCCACCCAATCTACATCACATTCATGGACAAAAAGCTTACAATGCACAAGGTGCAGTGGCTTTGAAAAAGACAAAACAAACTATTTCTTGAATGACTTTTACTGACTTTTTCTAGTAAAAGTTTTTCATTCTTTTTTATAGAAATTAAAGATTGATAGCCTACCTTTTGCTTTTATAATTATATAGTATTTGGTTAAAGGTAAAAATTCTATTTTTTTTTTACTGTCATTACCTATAGCTCAAGATGTTGGAAACTTCCTGTGGGCCATTTGACCCCACTCAGCTATTTGTAACTTCGCCTGTGCCTATGAAAACTATTCTCTTTCTTGTTTGTCCATGGTCATCTACAAAGAGCCAAAGAGAAACTTCCTTCAAACAGAAGGAAACTTCATGAGGCAGGCCTCAATCCCTGCTGGCATCAATGATCAATATACGGAAGTGTCATTCACATTGATGTACAATTGGCCAAGTTCTTTCAAGGAATATTGGGAACCCCGCGACTAAGCTACCCTCTAGATGATAATTAAGAATGAAAAAAGTATTAATCCTTTCTCTAGATTAAAGACAGGTCATTCATGTCAAGATTAAGATATATATTCATACGAAATAAATCCGTCATAACCTAACCCCAAAGTATGTTTTGTTACTTTAACACATAATCCGCAAACCCAACATAAAATAACCACAAAGTTTAAGATTTAATTTAGTTTTAATGAATTTGAATGATAAATAAGTAGACATGTTAGACCCTTCAAATAAAAGAGTAAATACTTATATGGTTGAACACCGCCTATACATTAGATAAATCCAATTATACACGATTTAAAGGGCACTGGTATGGATTAAAGAAAATTACACCTCACAAGACTTATACGTACAGTTTAGAAACTCAGACATGAGGTGACTCTGGAAGTAATTTGGCCTAAATTATCTGTCTCTAAGACATTAACTATAAGGTACGTACTAGAAGTGAACTACCACTAAAGTAAGTAAACGTGAGTGAGTCGATTCATTGCTCACCCGAATCCGATTCTTTTTGCTCTAAGTATACAGGACAAGTGATAATCTCAAACTTAGAAAGTGATAGTGTGGTGTGGTGTGTACAACTAATGAAAAACTGTCGCAAAACTAATTTGTTGTATGCACAAATTAACTTTTGTTAAAAGAAATTTGACAAAGTGATGGGTGACGATTTTTTATTGGGATTGTATTAAATCTACACAAAAAAATTCTCGAAACTTACAGATGAAGTATCACATAGAAAAAAAAAACAAAAGATTTGTTTCAGAACGGAAAGAACTAAGCAAGACAGATTACAGAAATAGACTAAAGAAAAAGGAGCAAAAAAATAGTTAATATATACTGTATACATACCGCTTGTTGAATTCCGCAGAGGTATATGGTGAGTGAACACTCATCTTGTCCGGGACAAAGCGCTGACATGGTTACGTCGGTGATGGCCGGAACCACCATGAACGTGGAGAAGTTGTACAAAAAGACTGTAATGAAAAGGTGGCTCAGCCCAGAGAGTTTTTCCATTTCTCCTCCTCTTTGTGTATTTGGAAAGAAAGAGAGAGTTAGTAGTCGAATGAACCAGTCCACCACTCTGAACGAACAAGTAAATGAGATTGTGATCAGATCAGACACTTAAAAAGCAGCAAAAGAACCATCATTTAAAGCACAGAAATTTGTATCTTTAGACTCTTTAATTACTTTGAATGGCTTTGGAAGAATGAAGATGCTCTGGGAAATAGCAGAAAATCTAACAGACACCACCTTTGAATCTCTAACTCTTTAGTCTTTTCTTTATTCTGTGAGGGAAAAAGAAACCATAAGTGAGGTTTAAAGCTTCTTGATGAAGAGGCAAGCAAGCTTGATCGATTGTGCTTTACTTCATAGTAGGGGGTTTAGGTGTGTGTGATAGCCACATTACTGTATATATATGTGTTTTAGGGGGACATACAAGTCAAAGATTAACGAAAGAGCGACGGTGAAAGAAAGGATGCGTGGCTTGTAAGTTTGTTTTTTTGATCCAAGCGTGGCTTGTAAGTTCATGTCAGCAATGTTTTGATAATTTAATACGCTTTGAGGCGTGCAAGGCTGAGTTGCCGTGGCTTGGGTTGCCTATGTTTACAGGAAGCCACAAACATGTTGGGCAAAGTTAGACTTGAAATGGGCTGGGTTCGGCTCCATGACTTCGTTCGTTTCCCATTTTTTTGGTTTAACGAACATTTGTCTTCGTGTCAATTTATGTGTGTCTTGACTAATTGCTTTCTCAGTTTGGTCATTCGTGTCAATTTATGTGTGTCTTGACTAATTGCTTTCTCAGTTTGGTCATACGCAAGTTATCCAAACTAAGATTAGGATATTTAATACAACAGTGATATCATATCAACTATCAATAATAAAATCTCAAATGGATAAAATGGACTTCACTTGAATAATTATTGACTTACATAAAAAAAGAATGGATAGTTATGTGTTTACGTAGATGGGTGGTTATTAACTTGTGTGAGGTCCAATTCCTTTTTGCATATTATTAGTTTGTGATACCATGTAATAATGCTGGCGTAGTATTACCATTACAATGAATATTTTTTTTATTCATAGAGTATAAATTTCTGATGATTTAATTTCAAAGAGATATCAAAATTTAAACTCAGTATAATTTATTCCTGTTATCCCTTGAACTACTTTAATTGAGGGGTTGTTCGTTTCCGGTCTTCATTTCCTTTCTCTCAAGCCTAAGGGACTTCTTATATTTAGAGGTTTTTTATTTGTCCTCTGTTTATTATTTTTTCGACCTTTCTTATGTTTTTCCCACTTGATACGTCACGAGGGTGAGACCCTAAATCAACCCAATCCTTTGCACCAATATGTGTTTTAAGTTTTGTTTTCTTGTGTCTATTTTTGCCAAGTAATTTATTTTAACGAGCTTATATGAACATATTCATCTAATTATGGACGAATCAGCTGACACTATGAAGACTCTGCCTTGTGTTAGGAATAGCTTCTTGAGCAAGGTATAATAGTAGCAAACCTCATTTATCTCATTAGTCATAGTAAAAAAACAAAATGTTATATGCAGTGAAATTTTCTCCCGTATTAAAAAGGTAAGAACTTTGTATGTTTTTTAGATATAAAATGTCTAAACATCATGAGCATAACTAGATTAGGCTCATCCTTAATTACATAAAATTAAAGGAGTGTTAGTAGATGATTGTTTCAAATGATATTAGAGCAGGAGATCCTATGTTAGAATATTGTCACCTTCTTAATTACTAAAAAGATTTTTACGTACTAGGTCCAAAATCTAACCTGCACGTGAGGGGACGTGTTGAAGTATAAATATTTAAGTTACACTCTATTCAACAACTTATTAAACTTTTAGAATAGATGATTGTTTAACAAAGAATTGTTCAAACTGCTGATCGATGATTTCTTATCTACTGATGGAACTTTTCTGAAATACTCCATGATGAAGACACGTGTCCTCGGTATTACCACAACACTGTTGCTAAGATCAAGCACCATCGGCTCACAAAGGTTCCTCGCTCCCGAGGTACTCGTCATATGGGATCATGGCATTCAGTACGTTTTACAACCGACACGTAGCCTCGGTCTGATATGGTACCTCAGTCGGTGTACCTCCCTCGGTTCTGAGATGAGCCTTTCCTCGGTGCCGAGAGATACCCCGTCCCGGACGCCTCCTCTGCTCCAGGATAAGCTATTGACGTACAGGTCATTAGCCTAGGCTAGTCTAGGCTATTCATCATGACCTCGTCTTACACAATTAGTGTCAGAACGTACAGGAATGCAGGGGCCACAGCCAATGGGGGATGGACGCGTGGCATATGATGTCACATCAAAGACAGAAAAACCGCATGCCGTTGCTGACACGCGACTTGGGAAAACAAACGATTAATTACACCATTCCCTTGACGAGACTGCATTCAATGCGGTAAGGCTCAGAAATGAAAGGCAATAAATGTTCCTAATACAGAGCATTTATTGCATCCTCCCCGAGAGGAGTTCATTGTACCGTCGGCATCCCGATGACGCAGCATTGATTACTCGGGACCCCGAGCAGTTAAGAAGAGAAGACATTCCTCATCAGAATCAGTGCGCACACTGCCTGTACCTAATGATCATCTACTGACTACACTGACAGCAATCATGAGCTTTTGAGGTATAAATACTCCTTGCAAAAGGCAAGACGGTATGCAACAAAAAACTCTTTACTACAATACACACTCAGTGTTTTCTTCTTCCTCTCTCTCTCTCAAAGACTGACTAGACCGTCGGAGGGGATACGCCGGAAAACACTCCGGCGCCCTTCTAACTTGTTCTTCTTTGTTCCAAGAACCTCTCTTCAGCCTTACTGGATCGTTCTTCCGCTCCCCCAGGATCTCCCGTTGCCGTTCCAGGTTACCATCGGACCTCGCAGGCTGTTCCAAGCAGCGTGGTTGGTCACTCAACTGACTCACTCGAGTTCACCAGGGGAGAGATCTGTTCTCGTTTTTATATTGTGCAGGATCTTGCACGCACATCTACAATAAGAGAAATGTTAAAATTTACATTTAATGGCCTCTAATTGATGAGTCGAAACTCTACATATCTAGGGTAAAAAATCAAAAAACAAATATGTAAGCATTAGCTAAAGGCCCATGAGACACAGACGCATAGAATGTCTAAAAGGATAGGAACAAAGAATGTACTGAGAGATCCAAGACCCCATCATATATTATTGCCAAGAATGCTTGGATCCTAGCCAGTGAAATCAAAGAAGCATTTCAAAATAATATGCCTACTAGGGGTGTAATTTGGGTTGGGCAATCCGATTTCAACCTGGGTCCAACCCAAAAAAATTAGGGGTTGGATAAGGATTTTTAATACTTAGATTGGGCTTGAGTCAAAAAATTCCAACCCAAATTTAATTTGGGTTGGGTTCGGGTTAGGGCCTCGAGTTTACGAGTTCAATTCGAGCTCGACAAATTTTAAAAAAAAATTATATATATATATACAACATTAACGCTGATTTTTTATTTTTGTTCTATCGTTCTCTGTCTCTCTCCTTCATTTTCATTTTTGTTCTAGCATTAATAATGTTAAAAACTTGGTTGAAATTATTGGTTGTTAATTTATGTGAATATTATGTAATATATTTATTAGATTTCGAACAACACGCCTGTTTTGGGCTCTACCTGAACTTAACTCAAATTGAACCCGTAAAGTAATTCGAAATCAACTCAAAATCACTAATCCGAATTCAACCCGAGCTCGCCCGAATTAAACTCGGGCAGTGCTCGGGTTAAGTTTCTCAACCCGAGGTAGGATTACGATTAGAATTGAAAATTGTATACTTAAAATTGGACTAGAATTAATTGTCCAACCTGTCCGAGTTACACCCCTAACACCTACAAAAGGCGCTCAGGATCATAGATTTATTGGGTGATCTTTCCCTTCTGCAGATTCGCTGAAAATGAATATAGATGGATGCTCGAAAGGGAATCCGGGGCCAGTAGCAGCAGAAGGAGTGTTAAGAAATGACCAAGGACAATGACTATTGGGTTTCTATCAAAAGCTTCTAAATCTCACAAGCACACAAGCAGAGGTTTGGGCCTTTTCAGATATCTTCAACTCATCCAGAATGAAAACCTGGATAAAGTCATCATGGAAAGTGGAAACTGACTCTTTGGATGCCCATAGACTGTTAACGGCAAGGGTCGAAAACTCTCATCCTGAAAGAAAACTCATTGGGAAGTGTAAAAAACTGGTAGAATCGAAGTACATTAAAATCTCCCAAACACTGAGGGAGGGAGGGAATGCCTATAACTTTAAGGCCCATCAGGGAGGCTTTCAGGCCCATCGGGCCGAAATGGATAAGGAGTAAAGCATAGATGCAGATGGAAACCAGAGAGATGTAGAGATATACCAGAATAAGCTTTCAGAAAAAGTGAATGCAGCATTCCTAAATAAACTCTAATGCCCATGTGGAAAGACTATGGGGCACCGACTAATGGATGTGGGCTTGTCATATTTTGAAGGTTTAGATTAAGTTCGATGCCAAATTATGTTTATCAAAACCTCATGCTTCCTCTAGCAAACAGCAATAAGACTCGTATGACTCGAATTTGTAACATCCAGATCACAAACAATATTATTATTGTAGGGAAAGCCCACTCCAATGACACTAGTTGTAATAGATGGTGATAAGTCATACAACCTAGGAATCGACCCATGACCACAACCCATGGGTCAATCCATGACCCACAACCAATCCATAGCCCACAATTGACCCCACCCCATTATGTGTGTATTTTTTTTATTAAATGTGTTTTAGTTTTTGTTGTGTGTGTATTTTTAGTGTATTAGTATATATCTTAGAGTATGTGTGGCTCATATTTGTTGTGTGCATAATGGCAAGGAGGCAGATGCCGGAGCGGAGCCCGCGACGACATCTACCTTGCAAGATTTATATAAAGGGGACGCTGATTAGTTGGGGGTGCAGGGGCAACGCCCCCGCAGTACGGTACAGGGGTATTTTTGTAAATACGTTCNAAGATTTATATAAAGGGGACGCTGATTAGTTGGGGGTGCAGGGGCAACGCCCCCGCAGTACGGTACAGGGGTATTTTTGTAAATACGTTCATATTATGGTTATATAAATACTTAAGATGTAATCCTATTCTATAATGGAAAAGAACGGCCGCTCGCTCTCGTGGAGATAGGCACATTGCCGAACCACGTAAATCTCTGTGTGTTATTTTCTCCTGCTTTCTTAATTGTTTGATTCCTTACTATTCACCATAATTGCTGCACGATCACAACAATATATTTTAGTTTATTAGTGTGTATATTTTTGATGTATTAGTTTATGTTTGTTTTGATGTATTTGTATGTATGTGTGTGTGTTTTGGTGTACAAATATGTCTATTAAGAATTTTAATTATTTTATGGGTTAATCGGTTTAACTCGGCACCTTATAAATCCAACCCATTATAACCTATTTACTACGTGAGTGAAAAATATATTGAATTTATTTTAATCCAATCCACCCATTTGTCACCTCTAATTATAATTATTAACATATGTTATATATTTAACGAGAAATTATTTCATTATGTCCCTTGAATTATGTAATTTTTTTTTTCACTTTGTCTTTTTAGGTCAACAAGTTTCGTCCAAAAAGGCAAGACATAAAGGGCAATGAAAAAAATTTAATAAATATGGCGATAAAGTGAAAAAAGAGTGGCAGTTGAAAGATTAAAGTGTAATTTAACCTAATGTTCTGTTCGGTAGAGAGAATAGAAAGTATGAAAGATAAAAAGTAAGGGGAATATAATTTCTATCCTTCAAGGATGAAAAATAAGAAATATACAATTTCCTTCTTTTGTGTTTAGTTAAATGAATGAAAAATAAAAATAACTATTTTTTTTTTATGCTGGCTAACATTAAGGGTGACAATCGAATCGAATAGTGTCGTGTCAGATTCGTATTGAATCATTACGAGTTTGTGTCAAATATTAGTCAAACCTAACTTAACTCATTTAACTAATTGTGTCGTGTCGAGTTGAGAGTTGCCTGTTTATTTTTGTATTGAGTTTGAGTCGTGTTATTATGTTGAGTCGAAAATTTTCACCCATAGTTAAGATGAATTTTTTTTTTTAATTTTAATTTTTAATTTTTTTTAACTTTTATTTTTAAAAAATTTATTTTTTATATATATATATATATATATATATATCATTGTATTTTTATATGAAATTAATATATACACAAGATATATATACAAATAAGATATATCTCAACACAAATAATTAACTTTCTATCTATTTTCTTTCCGATTTTAGAGGGATTGATTTTGGTGAATTAGAAGGAAAGTTAATTCATCCACTTTTTCATCATTTCTTATCAAACATGATGTTTTATTTATCCCTATAACATTTTATGCTTCCAATTTTTTATCCTTCAACTTTTTCATTGTATTAAATGGAGTATAAGGAATATGCGAACCCGAATTTGTTAGGACCAGACTGCATAGACTTTATCAGCATCAGATGACACAAATAATGTAGATGGAGTCTCGAAAATTTTGTCCAGCCAAAAGGATCAGACAAATACTTGACCGTACATCAATTTTCGCAAACAAACGATTTAAACCCAACAAAACCTGAAAACAAGGTGTCTATTCAGCTCTGTTGTTCTTTTGACATAAGGCAAGCACCGTGACCTTGCCCTTCCACAATAAAATGGTGAATATATAGACAAAAAGAAGCAACCAAACTCAAGAGTACCAACAACAACTAGATATTACAAATCAAATACCAAATTTTCTGACTACTCTCTCGAGTTTTGAATTGGTCACCATAACTCGAGTAAATTTAAGGATATATCCCTTGAAAAATAAAGGTGATTAATTCTTGAGGGATTTAAAAAGTATCGAACTTAAGATCTCTTATTTATAAGAGGATATACATAATTACTAAGATCTCTTATTTATAAGAGGATATACATATACATAATCTCTAAGATTTTGTGCACGAGATTTAACTTATTTTTTTTGATTCAATAGTTAAAGCTATCTAGACCAGCTTACTTACAGTTCGACTAATTTTCTCATTGGTTTAGTCAAAGACAGATTTTTCATTCCAAGACTAATGTATTTACAAGGGATTGTCAAAATTCAAACTCAGAGCATTCGAGTTTATATTTTGCCTTTATTATCATCTAAATTACATCTTAGAGTTTAATTACGTTACTTTTCACTGTAAAAATTAATTGATAATTTGTAATTGTGAACAGTTATACGTTACTGGAACGTGGGTCATTAATTTTTTTTTGTTTGATAAGTTGGGTCATTAAATATGATCATTACAACTAATTGATCAACATCTAATATAATATTTAGGCCCATGATGGCACAGGCCCACGGCGCATTTTAGTACGAAAGAATTCAAAACTAGAAAAGGAAACGAAAAGGCAGCAATAGAAAAGGGAAAATTCAATAATACCCCCTCTAGTTTATTATATCTTCAATGACATCCTCTTTAGTTTCTAAATTTTTAATAACACCTCTTTTAGTTTAATTTAAACATCACTAACACCCGCTACTATTAAACTATTATTTCTAACAAAATAAATTCATCTACAATATCAAAAATGCCCCTACATAACCTCAAGTTATTTTTTTACATAAAATTTATTAAAATTCGGGCTGTTAAAATTTTTAAAAAAATTATAAATTAATTTTTTATTTATTAATTAGTAAATTTTTTAAAAAAAATCGAGCCTTTTGAGTCGATTTGAACTCTCTTCGAGTTGTTAGAGCCGATTAAAATTATCTTCCGAGTCGATTATAATTTAAATTTTTTTCTTCTTAAAATTTGTGTCAATTAAAATTAGATTTATTAAAATTTAAGTCAATTAAAATTTATATATTTTTATATATTAAAATTTAGGCTGATTAAAATTCAATGTGAATTAATTAAAATTTGATTTGAGTCGATTAAAAATAATTTTTAATTGATTCAAACAAAATTTTAATTAACCCAAATTCTAATACTTTAAAAAAATATAATTTTTAATTGACACAAATTTTAATATGTAAAAAAATAAATTTTAATTAGCTTGAATCGAATTTTAATCGATTTGAATAAAATTATGTAAAAAAATTAAAAAATTGAGGGGGTCTCATTGAAAATATACTTGTTTAGAGGGGATCTCATTGAAGATATGTTTATCTAGAGAGATGTGGATGAAGTTTGACCTTAAATATATAATGGGCAATTTAGTAAAATTGTATTATACTTAATATTTTTAATCTAACAGGGGTGTCTTTGAAAATATGAGAAACTACAGGAGTGTAGTTGAAATTTTCCCATAAAAAATGACTCCAAGCAGTGTTTCCAGCTCTCCAGTACAAACTTGATAAGATCGAACACCACAGTCCACAATTTCCCTTCACACCAACCGTCTGCTTTCAACGTATTTTTCTCTCTCCAGATCAGAATGGATTCTCTGGCAATCCTCTGTACGGTGGCTCTTCTCGGCGGCGGACTCTACTGGTTCGTCTGCGTTCTGGGCTCCGCCGAACAGAAAGGCAAGCGAGCCATTGACCTCTCCGGCGGTTCCATCTCAGCCGAGAACGTCCAAGACAACTACAAACAGTACTGGTCTTTCTTTCGCCGCCCAAAAGAGATCGAAAAATCCGAAAAAGTGCCGGACTTCGTCGACACCTTTTACAACCTCGTTACCGACATCTACGAATGGGGATGGGGTCAATCATTCCACTTCTCACCCGCAATACCCGGCAAGTCTCACCGTGACGCCACGCGCATCCACGAAGAGATGGCCGTCGATTTAATCAAGATCAAGCCGGGAGATAAAATCATCGACGTCGGTTGTGGCGTCGGCGGACCCATGCGCGCAATTGCAGCTCATTCGCGTGCCAAAGTCGTCGGCATCACCATCAACGAGTACCAGGTGAAACGCGCACGTCAACACAATAACAAAGCTGGTCTTGACTCGCTGTGCGATGTTGTCTGTGGAAATTTCCTCCAAATGCCCTTCGACGACGATACCTTCGCCGGCGCGTACTCGATTGAGGCCACGTGCCACGCGCCGAAGCTTGAAGAAGTTTATGCGGAGATATTTAGGGTTTTGAAGCCAGGTGCGTTGTACGTGTCGTACGAGTGGGTGACTACAGATAAGTATAACCCGGAAGATTCTGAGCACGTGGAGATCATCCAAGGAATCGAGAGGGGCGATGCTTTGCCGGGGTTGAGAAGCTACAGTGACATTGCGGTGACGGCGAGGAAGGTGGGTTTTGAGGTTGTGGAAGAGAAAGATTTGGCTAAGCTGCCGGCGAGGCCATGGTGGACGAGGCTGAAGATGGGTAGAATCGCATACTGGCGTAACCACATTATGATCTGTGTTCTGGCGGCCTTGGGAATCGCACCAAAAGGTACGGTGGACGTTCATGAAATGCTCTTCAAGACTGCCGATTATCTCACCAGAGGCGGCGACACCGGCATATTCTCGCCTATGCATATGATCCTCTGTAGAAAACCCATCTCTGCCGCCGATTAACCCTCTTAGAAAACGACGACGTCGAAGAGAACACTCATACGACGTCGTCTCAGTTCCTTTTAAGTTATTTGCTTCCCCATAAAATAATTACTTTTTTGCAATCTTATGTCTTCAGCTGCTACTGCTAATTTATTTTTTAAGGTTTTCTGAAATTTGGATTTTGGGTTTTCTTAAGTCTGGTGGTTTATGTTGGTGAAGACTTTTGTTCTCTGATCTGATCTGGTCTGATCTTGTAGATGAAGACGATTAAGTGTGAGTGAAAAAGAAATAGGAAAGTCTTTATAAATTTAATCAAAATCTTTGTCTCAAATTTCTTGATATACTTTGTTTTTCCTTTTTTTTTTTTTAATTTCTTTATTTAAGTTTCATGATGGTATGCCTGATTAGAATAATTGATAATTGAGATCCAACTTTTGAGCAGAATGGCCATTGATGTGCACGTGATGCCAAACCAAATTCTATGATGATATTTTTTTTTGGTTCGAGTCCATTTTGAATAATTTTTGTGTGGGCAGATTTTTGCATAATAGTTAAAATGATAGCAGATTTTTTTCGTGGTGAACTCAAATTTGTTGTGGTGATGAATCCAACAACAAGAAATGAGTTGAGAAGGTTAAAGTGAGCATAAAGAGTGGTGATGAATTGTTCTTGGGACCGCTAAACCGATTCTAGTGGCTTGTAAGGGATTTCTAGAACACAAAAAATATGTTAGAAGGGCGCTGAAGTGTTTTTTGACGTATCTCATAAGACGATCAAGTCAATTCTTAGAGAGAGAAGAAGAAGAAAACACGGTTATAGCTCTTGAGAGGTAATTTTGCATATTTTTACAAGATATTTTTGAGGAATATTTATATCTTTAAAGATTCATCATTACTGGGCAATAGATAACTTTCAGAGATGAGACAGTGTGTCTCTTACTTTTTATGGAGAATGTCCCAATATTGATTGTTCGGCTCGCCGAGTGTAGATGCATTAAATGATTGGATCCCTAAGTATTTAATGTTTTTACTTCTCGACTTATCAGGTCATAACAGACGTATTATCAATGGATGATATATTTAATGCTTGTCTTTATTAGTCGCATATTAGCAAAGATAGTCCTTTCTTTTTACCCCTTACCCTGTACCTTACGTCACGTGTCTAATTTCTTATGGTTGAGTGTCTAGTTCAATCTATCATTCTTACTACATTATGCAGATTGTCCTCACAATCCTTTATCTAGCTTAGGCTGCTTAGCTGTTAGTCACTAGTCTCCTCAGAAGCCGAGGATCCATGGCAAGGTTGAAGAGAGTATCCTTGAGGCCGAGAAGACACGCTTTGGAGTCGAGNTTTTTTTTTTTTAATTTCTTTATTTAAGTTTCATGATGGTATGCCTGATTAGAATAATTGATAATTGAGATCCAACTTTTGAGCAGAATGGCCATTGATGTGCACGTGATGCCAAACCAAATTCTATGATGATATTTTTTTTTGGTTCGAGTCCATTTTGAATAATTTTTGTGTGGGCAGATTTTTGCATAATAGTTAAAATGATAGCAGATTTTTTTCGTGGTGAACTCAAATTTGTTGTGGTGATGAATCCAACAACAAGAAATGAGTTGAGAAGGTTAAAGTGAGCATAAAGAGTGGTGATGAATTGTTCTTGGGACCGCTAAACCGATTCTAGTGGCTTGTAAGGGATTTCTAGAACACAAAAAATATGTTAGAAGGGCGCTGAAGTGTTTTTTGACGTATCTCATAAGACGATCAAGTCAATTCTTAGAGAGAGAAGAAGAAGAAAACACGGTTATAGCTCTTGAGAGGTAATTTTGCATATTTTTACAAGATATTTTTGAGGAATATTTATATCTTTAAAGATTCATCATTACTGGGCAATAGATAACTTTCAGAGATGAGACAGTGTGTCTCTTACTTTTTATGGAGAATGTCCCAATATTGATTGTTCGGCTCGCCGAGTGTAGATGCATTAAATGATTGGATCCCTAAGTATTTAATGTTTTTACTTCTCGACTTATCAGGTCATAACAGACGTATTATCAATGGATGATATATTTAATGCTTGTCTTTATTAGTCGCATATTAGCAAAGATAGTCCTTTCTTTTTACCCCTTACCCTGTACCTTACGTCACGTGTCTAATTTCTTATGGTTGAGTGTCTAGTTCAATCTATCATTCTTACTACATTATGCAGATTGTCCTCACAATCCTTTATCTAGCTTAGGCTGCTTAGCTGTTAGTCACTAGTCTCCTCAGAAGCCGAGGATCCATGGCAAGGTTGAAGAGAGTATCCTTGAGGCCGAGAAGACACGCTTTGGAGTCGAGGGATATGTATTAGAGCTGAGTTCAAGTAGGGGGTCTTCGAGGTTGAGGACACGTGGCCTCACCAGAGGTAAGAAAGTACCTTGGCTTCGAGGACATGTGTCGTCGAACTAAGACCCTTCTAGAAATGTCCCATTAATTTTCTCTCTCGGTTCGGTCAAATGTAGGTTATCTACGTTAGAATTAGGATGTTCATGAAGGATAAATTTCTTATAATCTAGTTTCAAGGGTTGTCAATATTCAAATTTAAGACATTTGAATTTATAACTCGTTCTTATTTTCGCTTAAGGTTTTCAATAAATTTTTTTTGACCTTTGGATGGATTTAGAGAAACCAATTTAAACTTTTTCCCAAAATTCATTCAAACAAACTCATAAACGCTTGTCAAGAATTTTGATCTTTAATTCTAAGGAGCAAGAAGGAATTATGATGAAGTTAGGTGTTCTTGTGCATTATATTAAAAATTAGGGTATTCTTATCGTGATATATAATAATAAGGTTTGATGAGATTCAAAGAGAGAGAATAAGAGGTTGTGGAGGAGAAGAGAAGCACATGGGATGGTGGGGTGTAAAGAGGAACAAAGATACAGGGACAGAGGTACTGGCTTGCTGGCTGTTTTTGGTGGTGACACTGTCTGCCAGTCCTTTTTGTTTCTCCTTTGGCTTTGTCTTGGTACATACATAACAAGTTTCTCTCTCTCTCTCTCACTGGTTTATTCACTATTACAAATGAAATTATCACTAAAATATCTTAAGGTAGAAAAGAATATATATATATATATCAAGAAATTAACCCTGGACTAGATCCCTTTACAATTGTAAATATCGTAGGTTAATTTACAAAACTGATATATTAGTGAGTTTAAGTTTAATCTTAATGTGTTCAACTAAACAAAAAAAAAATGCACCACATGAGTACAAACATACACTCCCACCTATGGGATGATTGTGGATTTTTTTTTTAGACACAATACGATTTAATGTCAACCTTACCCTAGGCAGTCCTAAATTTGAGGGCAAATAATCATAATATAATTCCTTATAGTTTGATGATCAAAATCTCTTCCTTTTTTTTAATTCAATAATTAAAAGTGTTTGAATTAGTTTACACGCACGCACCTCGATTAATTTTCTTTCAAATCCAATCAAAGACATACTATCTATTTCGAAATTAGAATATTTATGACCTTGTATCAAAAATTTATACTAATATAATTTTAAAATATCTAAATTTATAATTCAAGCTTTTTAACACTTAAATTGTATCTATAATTGATCAAAATTCCCTTCACACACGTCAAACTTTTGTTGTCCACACACATTCCAAACTTTTGGTTTTTGGCCCACTTTAGTTATAAGTGGAGATCCCATAGATACTAGACCTAGCCCCACCATTCCAAAAGGCGTTTGAGCCTTTTTCTTCATTGATGAGTCATGGGAATGCTAAGTGGGTACCACTTGGCTTAATGAGCGGATGGTGACATTACCAACTCACAAGGAAATTAATGTAAGATTTCATTTTCCTTTCCTTATTTTTTTTGAAAATGAAGCTTCCTAGGCCAAAATATATTGCACTAGTTGTTCATATGAATGATATCGTAATTATTGGTGATGATTACGAGGATATTGTAAAATTGAAAATCATCATGCAAGATCAATTTTCTATTAAAGACCTAGACAAACATAGTTATTTATTGGATATTAAAATTGTCAGATATTAGATCTAAGTATGTCATTTGTTTGTCTTAAAGAAAATATGTACTTGACATGTTGGAGAAAACATATTTGGTATGTGGATATGACAATCGATGTTCTTATACATTCGAACCAGAAACTGTTAATTGATGATTATGCACTTTTTGAAATTTCAAATTGGTACGGCAGGTTAGTTGAAAAGCTAAATTAATTATCTTCTTATTATCTGACTAGATATTACATGTACCATAAGTGTTGTAAGTTACTTTATGAGATGTCCCGGGTAATTCTACCACTGTTTTATTCATAATAGAGGAGTATGTTGGCCTCAGGGTGGTATGCTATTTCTCAAGTCAATTGGGATCAAAACTGCTGAAAGTTTGAAGCGGACCCTTTGGGCCCTCGCTATATGTAATATGTCCTTACATATGTGTAATGTTGTACTGTTTAATGTGGGCCTAATGGCCTCTGACAGGCTTTCTGATATTTTGGTCCAAGTCTTCAAGCCCAAGTGACATGTTTCCTAAGATTGGGGTAATCATAGACCAAACAAAACTTAGATATCCTGAATTCAAACTATGATAATTTCTTGAAGTCTGTTTTGTGAAGAATTTATCCCTTATAAATATTTTAGTTTCAGCGTGGATGGTCTATCGTTGATCAAACCAGAAAAGAGATTAATCGATGTTCGCCTAAGTTGACTTGAACAATTTTGACCGTCAAACCAAAAACTTAAAAAAAAATAATCACCGGCCAAACTAAAGTCATTTTGTTTTGTTTTTTTTTATTTTATCACAGCACCATTATCTTCAACTTATTTCCAAAATTACAGTCTTTCGCATGACAATAAGGATTTAACCCACACTTTTCACTAAAAATTTGGTTAGTGGTCCCTTGACATGTGATCTGTTTGGGACTTATATTTGGTCACTAATTCGAACTGTCCACGGTTCGAATTGTGTTCAAAATGAGTTGACTGTCCAATATCAATCATTGGGAGACTATGATTGATGAATTTTAAATTCCAGCATGTCTCTAGGATAAAAAGTCATGGTTTGAATTTATAATGTCTAGATCACAATAGAACAATTTTATAATTGTACACGAAAAATTACCCTCCATTTATATGATCATCGTGTGGATGATAACAAAATTTACATGTGACAAGCTCATTTTAGCCATGAATAAGTCGTCTTAAATCTACAATTCTTGAATTTGAACATTCTGAAAATTGGCTGTGATTTGGTTTCAATTTTAAAATACTAAATTTTAGAGAGAGAGAGAGAGAGAGAGAATTAAATGTGAAAAACAGGGAGCTGTACCCTGATTTTGTCAAAGATCAAGGGTGGTAGCTGGCAAAAAACCAAACTTGTGGGAGAAAGGAATGAATTGAATCCTATTGTTAACTACTTTTATTATGACTATTATAGCACTTGATTGGTTGTTGGATCAAAACACTTGCATTGCATCTCATTCAAAGTCTTAGAACATAAGCAAAAAGAAATTACATAAACCACCACAAAATTATTTACAATAACATTTATGTATGCATCCCCTCATATGACTATTGTTGATTAGGGTCCAATTACGGTATCACAAGGAACAACTTTAATGTCCTATTTTTTGATAGGATACCGTAATTGGACCCTCAAGAATCTACAGAGAAACAAATCTCAAGAAATTAACAAAGAACTATAAGATGACAGAAAATTAAAATTGAAAAAAAAAAAAAAAAATGGGACTTCTCATCAATCTGATCAAACCCGGGTACTCAATTGAAGCGGTGTTGGTTGAGCCATAGTTCTTCGTTTCCATAGATTGATTTCCTTCTTTGGCTCCAAAGTTACACCTTTATTCACGAGGATTATAGGTGCAGAGAAAGGAATAATGACCTCTTCTTCTTCATCACTCTCTCCTCCCTCTTCATCGGAATACAAGTTCAGGTGATTCGGGTCCTCCGGTGCAATCTGCACCGATGTCCAATCAAAATTGGCAAAGTTATCGCGACTGCTCGCAAATCTCCTCATCTGATTCAAACCGGGCGCCGTATTGGGAAGCTTCGACTTATTGTGATCATCAGATTCAGAAGAAACATCAAGTTTTCTACCAGCTGATTGTGGTCCGCTAAAGATATTTCGAAATGCCGATGCCTTCTTCTTGATCTCCGCCGGAGATGACACCCGCTTGATCATCGACGGCTTGTTCTTCACCTCAAGAGGAGACGAGAAGGGATTGAATTCTTTAGGCTTATTTTTGATTTTCTTGTTTCGGTGCTTGATTTGTCCCATGCATGAGATTTTTGGCGAAGTGGGTTCTTGTGCTGAAAAGCTGGAGTTCTTGGACTTCCGGCGAGCTTCTGCCGGAATTATTGATATGATCGGACCGGAAAATCCTTTTCCGACGTGGGTTTTGAGCTTGTTTGCATTAACTTCTGATCTTTTGTTCTTACCTGGACTGAAAGGTAGGTTGTGGAACGTAACGGCCGAGGCAGCCTTTGGTAGAAGCTTTAAGAGGTTGTTCTTCGATTTAGCTTGTTTCTCCATTGCAATAGAAGTATCTCCTTCTGGTGGAGCTCAGTCTCTTCACAGATGCCGTAGATGTACCATTTTCGTTCTAAATATATATAGGGAGATGAGAATACAATCACAATGAGGTATCTAATAAGGCTTTTGTTATTGACCTTGTCAAGAAAAAGGGTGGGGGAATAGGGTAGTCGGGTCAAACTAGACGACACCAAATAGAATGGATTCGTTCTAATACATTTTTTTTAGTCTGTCTTTAAGTGTAAATTATATTCGGACTTTTTAAAATTTATCACTTAATCACTTTTATCCTTTTATATTTAATATATTACACCTAGATCCCTTGTAGATAACGATTAAAACAACGCAAAAGACCTAAATTGCATCTAGATGTTTTTGAAGTTCTTTATAATGACCAAACTTCCCTTCTAATTGATTATATAAAATTTCTCGCTTTAGTCGTTTCCCAAAGTGTCAATCACGCTTTTACACCTTCTTATCGAATTTATTTTCCTCTAGATGAAGAACACTTCAAGGCATCTGAAGATCCTTGTCATTCGATGATCCTTGATGTTTGGAGTTCCCCGAGGGTATCACAGAGTCTAAGTCGTTTAATTAAGAATATGTCTCAATTGTTTGGTTCAAGAAGAGTAGTTTGATAAATTACTTCTATATGTTATGATGACATAATGAATTTTTAACGGTCATCTTAAAAGAGATTGATGATAGAAGTTATGTATTATACACGCACACAAAATTTTAGGGGATGTAAATATAATATATCAAATGTAAAAGTATCTAGATGATTAAATGATAAGTTGTGAGGCATCTGAATGTAATTTACCCTTCTCTTAATTATATAAGAACAAATCTTCACCAATACTTTTGTTTTAATTTCACTTTATAATTAGATCACCCATCATATATTTATAGTGGGAGGATCCATCAACAAATGGTGGGTCATACATGAATTGATGTCGATGATTTAATTTTTGTGAGATTAAAGCAAAATGTATTGGAGAGATGTCGATCAAAGCAAACCTTTTCCTGCTCACCTATAAGCAATTATAATGACAGCTTGGTTTGAGGGTACTTTCGTCATCCTGTGAGCCGAAATTGAATTTGCATTCAAAGTCTAAAAATTGGGGCTATGTCAACCGACGAATGAGGACAAATAATTTGAATAGAATGCAATGCTTTGTCACGTATTTTATCTTGTAGTATTAGTGGTGAGAGCATCAATTACTAATAGTTATCCCAATGGATCGAATTTTGATCCAAATCTGATTAATCAGCTTTGAATTGATAATTTTTTATCGATAATTTAAATCTGAATTCGATATTTTATCTTTCATGGATTTTGATTTGAATATACATATATCCGATCCAATTATGATCCAATTTGAATTATTTATATATTTTTATATAAATATTAAAAAAATTAAGTGATTATTTAAAGAAATTTAAGTTGATTTCGAATTGCTAACGGATTCGAATATGAACTACAAAAATAAAATTCATTAAATTATTGGATAGAATTTTTAAAAATCGAATTCAAATCAATCATAGTCCAATCGAAAACCCGATCCATTGACATATCTAATTACAAGGGTTTATGATTTGGTTCGTTGACGCCCATATCTAATCTAATCCAATTAATTTAAACACATGGCTCCAAAAGATGTAAAATGTCAAAAGGATTAGGATTATATTCATTTTGTGGCAATTAATTTTATCACATGCTTTATGACTAGTGCTATTGGACAATATTGAAATTCATAGATTATGACTTCAGAAATGTTCGTGAAAAAAGAAGAGACCAAGACTTCCTTATTATTCTATTAAAACAGAGAAATGTTATTGGCATTTCTCTTTTCAACAGCAACATTCTTACCTTTTTGTATAATTTTCTTTTGGATTTATAGTATCCTAATTAAATATGAGAGGATGAATAGCATTTCTCTTAAAAAAAATATTTAATCATAGTTCAGATCCAATTCTTACAATCAACTATGTCACAAGAGATTGAATGAATTAGTTACGCGTACCTCGACTAATCCCCTCTTCAGTCTGGTCAAAAGCAAGTTATCTACATCAAAATTAAAATTTTTGTGAAAGATAAATTCCTCATAATGTGATCTCAAAAATTTTTAACGACGCTATGTTAGAAGCTTTCACCCGGCAACTCAATGTATATCAAGTCGAATTCGAATGAAAAAAAGGCAAATGATCACCATGTAGTGTAACACAATTATTAGGCATGCTAATTTTTTTTTTTCCCTGTTAGAAATCATTTCATAACTGAAAAAATACAATTCAAATTTTAGGGATAATTTTGGTACAAGAAATCATAGTCAGCTAGTTCTTCTCCTCATTAGTTTGCAGTGCAGTGGAAAAATCATTGTGTAGCCGCCCACTTTGGAAACATTCATAGTTAAAAGGTGGACCGACTCAGCCCTCCTGGAATAAGATTTATACTAATATCTATCCAAGGTATAAGGTTTACCTTTTCAATGTTCCTAAATAAATTTGTCTTTATAGCTTGAGACTATCAACTAGCATACAGAAATTCATACTGCAAATGCTTGATTTTGTTGGACATCAAAAAGAGAGAGAGATAGAGGGGCCATCCCCATAAACAATACTAAATAAATACATCATTTTATCAATGATGCGGTCCACTGTCCCTGCTGCTATGGATTTGTGATGCCAACTGCCAAATTCAAATATATATATTTGAAGGCACAAAGTAATTAAAAAAATAGTTAATATATTTGTATTCACACCAAAAATCAAATCACAAATATAAAAGAGAAATAAAAAAATTTAAATACTAATTGTAATAGGGTGAGCAGTGGCAGTGGTAGTGGTGGTGGGCGACGGTGATGGTTGTGGTGGGTAAGGCGACAACTATGATGGTGATAGTAGCCGTGGGTGACAATAGTGATGGTGGTAGTGAATTTGAGTGACAATAATTGTAGTGACAGTCGTGGGTGGCAACGATGGTAGTAGTGGGTGTGGATGTGGGTTGTGGTGGACGACGATGATGGTGGTTAGCGACGGTGGTGGTGGGACGACGACGGTGGTGGTGGTGGGCGACGATAGGTGTTTGTAGATGATAGTGTAATGGGTGGTGGCGAATGACTACAGTGGTAAGTGTGGTGGGGAATAGATGACAATGAGTAGCTGCAGTGGTGTATGATGACAGATGATGGTGGTTGGTAGTGGTAAGTGTGCTGGGGTAGGTGACAGTGGTTGGTGGGGATGGTGGGGGACGATGGGTGGTGGTGGGTGTTGACGGTGGGCGATGGTGGTAGTGAGATGATGGTGATAATGGTAATAAATATAAGAATAAAATAACGATGGTGGTGGGGCGGTGGAAGTGGTAGTGATGATGGTGGGGTGGTGATAGTAGTGGTGGGCGGTGGTGGTAATAGTTATGGTGGTGGTGGGGCAATGGAATTGATGATGGTGGTGGCGGCGGTGATAGTGATGGTGATGGGGTGGGGGGGTGGTGGTGGTAGAAATAGTGATGGAGTCGTTTCAAACTTCATTTTTTTTTAAAATACTTATGATAAATAATTCATAAAAATAGTTTTAAAAAATCATTCCAAACACACTTTTAAGGGGCTATTTTTCTTATTAAATTTGAGGTATTAATATTAACCGTTAGATTAACTTTAAAGTAAAATTTAAAATGATCTCAATCGCGAACAATAAAATTTATTTTGTTTATCTTTTGAGATTTGAATTGTATTGTACTTTATTATATATACTAGTTATTTTATGTGCCTGAAGGTACAAAATAATAAAAAATAATAAACAATAAACATATTTGTTTTCATATTCAAAATTAAATTACAAACATAGAGGAGAGATAAATGAATTTGAGTATCGGTTATAATGAAGGTGAGTGGTGATGGACGGCAGTGGTGATGATAGGAGACGGTGATTGTTGTGGTAGGTGGCAATGACCGTGGTGGCGGCAGAGATGGTGGTGGCGGCGACAACGATGGTTGTGGTGACAGCGATGAAGACAAAAATGGCGGTGATGGTGACGACAGTGGCAGCAATGGTGGTGGAGATGGTTACAGCAGCGGCGGCGACGGCAGTGGCAACGGTGGTGGTAGTGGCGGCAGTGGTGATGATTGTGGTAGTGGCAATGACAGTAGTGGCGGCGACGGTGGTAGAGATAGAGGTAGCGGTGGTGATGATAGAGGTAGTAGTGGGGCGGTTTCAAATATTATTTTTTGTAAAGTAACTATGATAAATAATTTCTAAAAGTATTTTTAAAAAATCATTTCAAATACACCCTTAGAGATATATTTTTCCTATTAAATTTAGGGTGTTAATATTAGTTGTTAGATTAATTTTAAAGTAAAATTTAAAGCAATCTAAACCGTGAAAAGTAAAAGTCATTTTTTTTATCTTTTGAAATTTAAATTCTAAGGTATTTTATATATATATATATATATATATAATTTAAGGCTAAATTACACCAAATGTCCCTAAAATTTATCACTTATTAAACTTTAGTTCGTCAATTTAATATAAATTCATGATTAATGGTCTACCTTTTGAACGAAAGTGAGAAAGTGTACCATACTATTCCTTCCGCCGGCTTTCACTAGCTGACTAATCCTAATTTGGACCGTCTCTGCTTAAAATGAGAGGTGATAAGGTGACAACAACTTTTGCAAGTAGTAATATTGAACGAATTTTAATCTTTTAAGGCCTGTTTGGTGTGCGAGTTTGGGAGATTTTGGAATATGGGTTATAAAATAAATTCCTCAAACTCTTTGACAAATACATATTTAACTCAGGGTTTAAAACCCAGACCAGTTTAGGCCTGGTCATGAAACTCAAGTTCATGGGTTTCATATGTGGGTTAATATATATGTATACCCGTATATGTAATTGTTAAAATGTTACATTTTTTTGTTGGATTAATGCTTGATTGCACTTTATTATGGTTATGAATAATAGTTATATTTTATCAGCATTCATGGTTTGTTTCATAAGTTAGGAAAAAAATTTTAATCATATATTTAAACCATAAGGATACAAGAAAATGTATGTAAACAAATATGGGTTTGAAATAAATTGGTTAAGAGGTACAATAGTAATTTATATACAAATATATTATCATAATAGTCATATATCTCTGCGCATACCAAACATGGGTATATAAAATACTAAATATTGAATCTCATTAAATTGAGAATTGTTTAGACTAGAGAGTACAAAGTGTCAATTATGGGAGTAACTCGGGCAGGTTAGGCGGGTTGAGAGGTCAACCTTAACCCAACACTGAATATATAATCTTCAACCCTAACTCTAACCATACCTCAACTCGAGGTACTCAACCTGAATACTGTCCGAGTTTAATTCGGGCAAGTTCGGGTTGAATTCGAGTTACTTAATTTGGGCTGATTTCAGGTTAAAAATTGGGTTGACTTGGGTTACTTAATTGTAGTTAATTTTTTGAAGTGTAGATTTAATTTTTTTTAAGTGTAGATCTGATTTTTTCAATTGATCTGAGATGAAGGGTGAGACGCAAATGAAGAAAGAGAGAGTGAGAGAAGGAGGAATGACGAGTGAGAGAGGGAGGTTGAGAGTCTAAGACGACTCATACGAGTGACGAGTGAGAGAGGAAATAGTAACGAATGAGAGAAAGATTTGAGAGTTATAGACACACATGGATGAAGACTTGAAGTAAAGTAAAAATTTTGACTCTAAAAAGTGAAGATAAATATTAACCCTAATTAAATATATTTATGTATATTTGGGTTCAATCTTATTTTAATATTCGGGTTGAACCCTACAATCTGATGTCTCAACCCGATGAAGAAAAAGAGAGTGAGAGAAGGAGGAATAACGAGTGAGAGAGGGAGGCTGAGAGTCTGAGACGACTCATACGAGTGACGAGTGAGAGAGGAAATAGTGACGAATGAGAGAAAGATTTGAGAGTTATAGACACGCATGGATGAAGACTTGAAGTAAAGTGAAAATTTTGACTCTAAAAAGTGAAGATAAATATTAACCCTAATTAAATATATTTATATATTTATGTATATTTGGGTTCAATCTTATTTTAATATTCGGGTTGAACCCTACAATCTGATGTCTCAACCCGAGGGTTGCCCAAATTCAATTCGAATTGGATTTTTTTGCTCAAGCATAACCCAATTATTAAAAATTGAGAAAATTAGAAGGAAGTACACCAAATTAGACTTAATTATAAAAAATTACACATAAAAAAAATTGGGTAATTAAGTCTTTAATTTTGATACTTATTTGTATCTAAGTACATTATTTGAATTTTATTGATTTTTTTGTGACATTTTTGCCCTCCATTAATCCATGTGTTTTTTCTTTGGAAAGTGGTGCATTAAACATCTATTAGTTTTATGGGAGAACTTTAATACATGGTATATATATGTTTTTTTATATATACGTATATATATATATATACTTGTTAACAATAAATATATATAAATACGTATATTTTTATACACGTATTTATTTGTATTAACAAACACACATGAATCAAGGTATATTAAAGATAAGAAATTTTGAATTAAATGACCATAAAATAGGCATTTATGTTTTTGTAACTCAGAAGTGTACTTTTTTTAAAAAAAATTTATTTTATATACTTTTTGTCAAATAAATCTAATTAAATATACCGACTTTCAAAGAAACTTTAAATTCTAACTCAAACTCTGATTTTTTCAGGTTAAATTCTGGTTGGTCGCCCAAGTTGCACCCCAGTGCCAATTCACTTGGAAAAATATTTGGACCGTCAAATGAAGCAAGAAGGGTTTATTTGGAAGCGGTGCTTGTTTCTCCTTGAGCCCAACGGCCCAATTGACCGTTAGTGGGGGTCGTTGGTGTGTTATCGCCCACTCTCGGGATCAAACGAGAGAGAGAGAGAGAGAGAGCATCTCTTTTCATGTGTCGCGGATTTCCCTGAACCGAAGGTATGACAATTTTCTTTTTACTGTTCAGTACAATAATCTTTAGTTCTCTTGCTCATTTCTTTGATCGAAATTCCTAGAATTAGTTTATGGAGAAGACTGGAATTGATACAGTCAGCATCTATTTAGATTCACAGTTATGTAAATGTAACCCTATGCTGTTGTGTTGATTGAAGAAAAATTACAGAAATCCTCTGCCACATTTTGTTCCTTTGGCCTTTTTCTTTCTCTCATTCGAACTGCACGCAATATCATTAACAGGGTTAGCAAGCTCAAGCTTTCTCTTGTGATTCAGTTCATGGTCTTGTTCACAACTTTATATTCCCTTATGGTGTTTAGTGGATTGTCACTAAAATAGGACGATAAGATTTATATATATAGCATTGGTGGATTGTCACTGAAATAGGACGATAAGATTTATATATATAGCAAAGCATTTTTTTCATTTTGTATGTATTTTGTTTGACCTGGGGTTCAGTAATCTTTCTGAAATATTGACATAAAATAAAATAAATAAAATTTATTAATCAACACCCCCCCCCCGGGTTTTAATCGTTACATAAATTTACAATTATTCATTAAAGCTAAAGGTGAAATATCTAAAAATGAAAATGAGGTTCAAAGTAAATACATGGGTCAGATATGTAACTTGATTATTTGTTTATGGGATTCGGCCAAACGGAACAAAAATTTAAATTAATACTTTCCGATGCTGATTAATTCTTATATTACCCCCCAACCCAATTTTCAGCATCCAAAATTTGTATTTATTGTTTTCATAAATATACATACTTCCATTCCTTAGTTTTAGCACCTTTGAGGTTCTTTTTACTGATAATTTATGTAGAGCTTCATCACCTTGTGAAATGGAATTTGTGTCATGTTTGTGCATTTCCTGGAGAAAGGGCTGATGGGAGTAGTTCTTGGGGGCCCGTCTCATATAATTGCTCAACCAGTTTCAGTATGGGTTTGGTAATTTCCTTATAATGTATTGACCAGCATTCAGCAGGGTATAATTGGTGTCCTGAAATAGAAAGTGGAAGAAAATTTGTTCAAAAGCTGTACTTGAGTACTCCAATACTGATACCAACCTGAGGTAAACTGCAGTTTATGGAGTTCAGGTTGCAACGTTTACCTATTAAGATGCTTATGAGCCTATTAACACGCATAGTTTGGAACTTAATTTTTTTCTCTCTAAAATACAATGCACACCACATTGCAAATTCTACGCTAGGTTAGCTCAAAATGTGTTTTTGTCAATATTTTTTGCAATTCTTATTCAACTTATTGTTAAAATCTTTCTACTTGAATTGTTTCTGATGCACCTTACACAATGAGATAATGTGAATGACATATACCAAATAATGATGATGTCAAATGGCATTTGCATCTGTCACGAGAATAGTATTATGGTCACACAAATGAGACGTCTCTAATCAGTGGTGGATTTTTGAATGCATCGACTTGTGGATACTTGATAAAATTCTATGTCACTCTTAGATATCCCTTTGAGAAGTTAGCCATGATGTGCTTTCCCAGAGCAAGCTTCCTTTCTATCCCATGTGTTGGTTTTTGCTATTGAGATATGATCTAACATGAAAATATGTTGTTGAAGAGAATCATTCATGGTTCTCTTAGATTTGCAGGACTTTATTCTCCGTGCTCGAGTATTAAAGCTCTACAGACAAGCTCTGAGGACTGCTCAAAGAGCGCCAGGTCACACTAGAGGTGAAGTTCCTATCTACATTGTCCTCAACATATATTGATTAATGGTTGGCTTTGTTCTCCCGGCATGATTTTTACTATGCATTATTTTTTGGAAAGAGGTGATAAAGGACTCCTTTGGAAAAGCTTCTTCAAACTTCTTCATTTTATTGCATCTATGAGGTCTTTTGTTTTCACTTCCCAATGTTGTTACCGTTTGCCATACTTGGCAAATTTCTAGATGATTAATTTGGGACATTATCCAATAGCATCAGCTGGTTATTGTTCTTCAACGTGACATATTATGAGTGCATGTCTAATGGCATGTTGTTTATGGATTTCACAGCTGAATTAAGGCAGATGATTAGACAAGAGATGGAGAATAATCGGATTTGCAGTGAAAAACATAGGATTCGTTTCTTAATTAGTGAAGGATTGGAGAAATTGAAAAGATTGAATGAGATGCTTGACATGCAAGGTCATTGATAATATATTGCTACCCTGTAATATTAATATACTAAGGGATAACCCATACATGAAGGTATGGTACAATGTGAATGTTTTTGAGAGGGATGTTGGTAACCGTTGGATGAGTTTATTGAAGTCTGCTCTGTTTTATATTATAAGATTATCAATGACTTTGCTTGCTGCTAGCAATATATTGCTACCCTGTGTTTTGTACTTAAGTAGAAGACTGGAATTCAATCAGTATATTTACCTTGTTTTTTTTTATCTCTTTTTCTTTCCAGTTAAGAAATGATTGTATAACCAAAGATCAAAGGTTCCACTATGAAGCAGATGGGAGCATAACTTCATACTACATATCAACAGATAGTACAAAAAGAACTTGTTCCCAGACCAACAAGGTCGATTTTATATGATTTTTACACTTTTTTTTTATAAGGGTGCTTCTTACAGTATACTCACGTAAATTTGCAGCAAACAACATTTGTGTTTTTGTACTTACAGTGATAGACTGGTTAACATTATCTAACATCCAGTGACCACAATTTATTCCAACTATACCAAAATACTGTGACTAGAGTTTCTTTCCATAAAATCAAAATAGTGGGAGTGGGATCCTCTAGAATGTATTATCGTTCAATTTCTTTCAATGATAGATCGATCGCATATTTAAATTCCAGTAAGGCAACTATCTATAAGTGAATCCCCAAACCACACAAGATAAGTTGCCAACCATTTCAAGAAATTGAAGAAAAATATGTTAGAGATGGTCTAGATCCAAAATAGTGACAGTGTCATACAAAGGTATATCCTACAAAACCAATTGCTACATCATAGGTTATGGAAAACTGAAAACAATTTTAAAATATATCGAATGACATTTGCCAGATCTTACCACACCAGTATGCAACATTCCCAAATACAATGTCAAACTTTGAACTCTTGCAATGCACCTCTAACAAATTTGCAAATGAATTAACTTCATAAGATAGTGATGACGGCTGGAACGAAAGACTGCCTAATCCAATTGTAGATGTGCATAATGTAATGTTTATTCGTTTGTATTGATTAGGGCCTCTTTCTCGTTGATCAGTTTGCTTCCACTCTGTGCTCCTACTACAAAGGCCGGGCAGCAAATCCCCTATCCACCATCTTCTCTACCAATTCTTCATGCTTCTTTATCTGCCCTGCCTTCCTCAGCTGCAGCAGAACCATTTCATAAACTGGCTGACTTGGTCTCAAGCACTTCTCCTCAATCATCTCTCTGAAATACTTGTATGCATTGTTCCAATGCCCCATCCCACAATACAATGAAATTAGAATCCGATAAGTATTCACATTAGGCTCGACTTCACTCTCATCCATTTCTCTCTTAAGCTTGATAACCATGTCGGTTGATTTTGAATCAGCAAACATCCGCATCAACACATTATATGTAACTGTATTAGGCCTACATTCTAACTCCCTCATTTTGGTATACAATCTATGAGCAGCATTCACATCCCGCGACTTTGCAATACACCTAAATATTGGATTATAAGTAGATGCATTAGGAAAACACCCTTCCTTAACCATTGTCTTAAGAACCTTAACTGCTTCCTCACGATTCTCATCCCTACAATGAGACTCTATCAGAAAATTATACGTGATCACATCACCAGGACAACCAAGCCTCTTCATCTGATTATACGTTTGCAAAACCTTCTCAGTCCTCCCAGCCTTCACATGTACCCGCATTAGATTGTTAAAGGTAATAGCATTGGGTTGACATCCAACATCAATCATCTCTGCGAAAACATCATGGGCACGATTAATTTGCCCACACCTACACAATGCATCAATCACAATACTGAAAGTATAGACATTGGGTTGAATCCCAGCTGCCTTCATCTCTCGAAAAACCCTCTCGGCCTCAGAAATATTGCCAGCCCGACACCACCCATGGACCAAGCTAGTATATAAAACAACATCAGGTTCAAATTTATCTTTCAAGCTATCAAAAAATGATTGAGCTTCCATTGCTCTTCTCTTCTTACATAATATACTGATCACAATGGAAAACGCAATTTTGTCCGGCTGGCACCCATAATCCTCCATTCGATTGAAAGCGTGAACAGCCTCGGACGCCAGCCCAGCCCGAACATATCGTCGAATCAGAATCGAAAAAGTGTCGATTGAGATTTTTACGTTTTTGGTTTTCATTGAATTGATCAAATGCCAAGCGATATCGAATTGGCGTACCTTTCCAGCCAGGTCGATCATTTCGTTGTAAGGCTCGGGGGATTGGGTGAAATCTAGATTATTTGTGGCCCAATTGAAGAAGGCAAGGGTTTGGATAACGGGGATGCCGTGGCGGACCTCGCCACATTTCTCGATCACACGGTGGATAAGGGCAGGGGAGAGAGATTCGACGGTGGAGATTTTGGAAAAGTCGAAGGAGAGAGATTGGAGGGTTAAGTTAGGGTTTAAGGGAGTAGAGTTAGGGTTAGGGTTTTTGCGGTGGTGGTCTTTGATTAAGGCATGGAATTTTTCGGCTATCAGGGTTTCAGCTGGAGAGAGCTCACTGGTGGGAATGGGTGGTTTATCCGTGTCTGTGACGTCGTTTTGAAGGTCAAATTCAAGAGATGAAGAAGACAAAGAAGATGATGAATAGGGATAATAGGAAGTTAAAGAGAGAGGAGAGAGAAACTGTTGACGGAGGTAGAAGAGAACCTTGGATTTAGAGATGGCCATTGCCATTAGCAAACTGAACTAAGGTGTGGTGAGTGACAACCGAAGTGAAGGGAGGGCTACACGAAAGCGGCAGGAGGGATTATGCGATATCGAATAGGATTAATCTCATTTTGTACCCTAAAAGATTGTTCAAATCTTAATTTGTACCTCCAAAGATCAAAAATCTCAATTTATACCCTCAAAAATAGAAATTTGTATCAATGTGCATCCCCAAAGATAAAAAATCTCAATTTGCACCCTCAAAGATAGAAATTTGTATCAATGTGCACCTAAAATTAAATTGATAAATTATACCTAGATCCCCTCATGTTTGTCACTTAATCATTTGAACTCCTTCACATTTAGAATATTCCCCTTACATCTCATGACGTTTGTGCATGTGTAATACATAACCACTTTTCGTTGACATCTGTTAATATAATCATTAAAAAATATGATTTTATCCTAATAAAAAATTATAATTTCATATTACCTTTTATTTTGTGGATTCGATATACTCTAAAGTTAAAAATCAAGCTTACTATTTGAATGTCTAATAAAATGTAGATATTTATATAAAAGGTAATATAAAAAACATTATATAAATATTTACATTTTATTAGACATTCAAATGGTAAACTAGATTTTGAACTTTAGAATATATTAAACCCATAAAATAAAGGGTAATATGAAATTATAATTTTTTATTAGGATAAAATTATATTTTTTAACGGTTATATTAATAGATATCAATGAAAATGGGTTACGTGTTATACGTGCACAAATGTCATAAGATGTAGGAGTAATATTCTAAATGTGAAGAGGTCTAAATGATTAAGTGACAAGTATGAGGGGATCTAGGTATAATTTATCAATTTAGTTTTTAGGTGCACATTGATACAAATTTCTATCTTTGAGGGTGCAAATTGAGATTTTTTATCTTTGGGGTGCACATTGATATAAATTTCTATCTTTGAAGGTGCAAATTGAGATTTTTGATCTTTGGGGGTGCACATTGATACAAATTTCTATCTTTGAGGGTGTAAATTAAGATTTTTGATCTTTGAGGGTGTAAATTAAGATTCGAATAATCTTTCGAGGTATAAAATGAGATTAACCCTATCAAATAACGTTGTTTCTACCACTTTTACACAGAAGGAGCCAACGACGTCGTTTCTACCACTTACACAGTGAAGGAAAGGGCTATGCTATATAACATGCATTTTTTTTCCCACACTATTACCAAGGATTGGAGAGGATTTGACATTGGTCCTACGGCTGTGGAAGATTTGGTGCATGCTTTTGGTTAAAAGCGTTAAACTTTATGAGTTTAAGGACAAGATTAACGAATTTGTGTTTTTAAACAAACCTAAAAAATTATTCAAATCCAGGTCGTTTAAAACTCGAACCTAGTCTAAGTCTGAGTCTGTGCCCAAACCGAACCCAAGTTGAATCCGTATAGCTTGAATATTTTACATATAAAATAGTCAAATTTTGTGAACTTAAACTGAGCCAAAAAAATGAACCTAAAAAATTATTCAACATCAATTCGTTTAAAACACAAATCAAACTTGAGTTAACCCCAAATAAATCATCTCCGTTACACCCTACTTTTGGTACACATAAAGCGGGTGATATATGACCCTGACAAAACCTTGCACAAGTTTTGAGGCTTTTTAGCTATGGCTAAAGGTAAGCATAGTAGTATATTTGGCTTAGTTATTGTATGAAAGGAATGCTGGATGTAAAGGACCTATGTTTACACACAAGTTTGTCATGGTGTTACAGTAAGGGTCCCTGATTGGCAGGCATCAAGACATGGCCGTTTGCGTTGAGTAGAATCAATTGTAATTGAGGAGTTTACCCCATGGTTATGACAGAAATACCTGTAGAAGTTGTTTTTCTCTTTGTTTCTTGAACTTCAGTCTTGTCCAGATTCATTTTTCCTTGGGGTTGTTTTTAGATTGGGGATTTTAGCATACAGGAGGCATTGTTCAGTTTCCCAAAGATGAAATGAAATGCCTTGTTTCTTTTGACATACGAGCCTTTTGCAAGAAATCGAAAGTTCAGATGCAGATACTTCGATGCTGGTTCGCCTCAATCTAGGATTCCAACGCGAATATAACATGACAAAATAGTATCAAATATTGTGATCAATCTTTTGGTAATAGTTAAGAGTATCCAACATTTCTATTTGATCCAGCATTTCATGAATCTGTCTACCCTGTGGTACAACATGCTGCTTGAAGGTTGGTTTCCCTGTCAAATGCCATGTGAACCATACCGGGCTTGATATTCTGGACTGGCAGATCACCTGAAAAGCATCCTAAACAAGAATTCTGAATCTGCTGTATTGTCGTGGACTGCCACAAACTAGCCCTATGGCAAGGAGTAAGAGTGCTCTGCAAAGACAAGTAGATTACACAGCAACCGGGCAGCAGTGAAGTAAACCCCTTCACTGTATTTGAGGTCAAGTGGCACACATGCTAGTTCAATTGAAGCTGACAACAGTCCATTCAAATCATACATTCTCCAGCTTAGTAACCTAGAAATTAATCGCAGATTGTCAATATGGATGATCAAATCAAATAATCTGACATAGCCGATTCAACTAAAGTAGCTACTTTGTGAGTTTTGTCAACAGCCAATTGCTAGGTTAAAAACACAGGCTGCAAGCATGAAGTTGTAGGGTGAAAGTCCAAGAGTAGTCTCTTTAACATATACTGTCAAAAAGTTAAGACTCATCTTTGCAGGTGATTACCTTCTCAGTGCTAATATCACGAAGTTGGGTCAAGATCTCAGCAAAATCTGCAGGCGGCAGTTGAAAGAAGCGTATGTTCTCCCCAGTATGTGGATGCCTGAACCTGTAAAACAAAGATATCCCTAATGACTCTATCATAAGATAATATGCAATACTAATGACCTTGAGCTGAAAGCAGCAGGTATATCTTCTAACCCAAGAGTCAAAGCATGGAGGCAAGGCCGCTCTAATCTAGAAACCATTTCCACAAGTTGTCCATGTAAGCTAGGTGTGGTCCTAGGCTGAAGCAGTGACAGGGCCACGCTCTTAGTCCCTCCATACACCTCATCTCCCAGTAGAGGAATACCCAGGTACTTTGCATGTGCACGGATCTACTTCAGAATAGCAATACAGTGAATATTAACTATTTAGTTGAAGCTGATGCCCAAAAAAACTAGTCGCAGGAATTTACTTAGTATTGGCTACTCATGATATGCTCAGTCCTGTAGAATTCGGTTCATAAACTACTAAACAGTATCTGTAACTTGTTAAGATGGAAAGATTGTCTCCTCTGAAAATGGAAAGCAACTTTTCAATCAAAGCTAATTGTCAAACCAGCATTAAAGAAGTGGAAAACTAATAATAAGTTCTACTTCTTTCTTTCAAATACACCAAGTTCTATAAAGTTTGTATTTAGATAACATAGTCCTACTTTTTAACACAATTTCACAAACGTAAAAACAAAAGACACTGTTCGATTTGCCCCCTCAGCTTCAAAATCTATGGCCTTTTTCAGTTGCATTCACGGTGGAATTGGACAGGAAGGGGTTGACTGATACATTTTAAGTAGTTCAGTGAAAATTGAGGAAAAAGTGAAGTTCAATTAGCAAAGTTCGGGGGCATTTGCGATGTATAGCCTAAACCATACAATACCTGATGAGTGCGCCCAGTTTCTAATCTCCATTCCACCAATGCAGAACCACCACCAGCAAGTATTTCAATTACTCTATACCTGAATGTGAATCCAATGTACTTAGACATACAAACTAAAGAAACTAATTACTCATTAAAAATAAAAGACTGTCCACAATAAGGAAAACTAGAAGCAGCATGATGATGATAAAATAAAGAAAATAAATATTAATCAAAGGAATAAAACTCCAACACACAAAAAAAAGGGGGGGAGGGTTAAATGAGGGTCAAGCTATTAGTGCTTATAAGTCCAAGAGTAGTAATACCACCTGGCACAGTAGTCTATTAGATGGAAGCATAATTTAAAAGAAATTCTTCTTATGAACCCCCAAATAATCCACACCAAGACGAAAAGAAAAGTATCAGAAAAGCATGGTGATACCTCACAATATTTAATATCATTAGCAAACTGGCAAATATACTGGGGTTTGAAACCTAAAGTAGGTATCTACAACGTGACGTTACACAAGTAGTTAGCTGGTTGCGGGCGCAGAAAAACCACAGTGCTCTCCTAATTATTCCTTGGGGCTTTTGCAGGAATAACTCTCTTTTTTAAATAGGAGCTGCAAGTATCCACCCACATGGATAGTTGAATGTCCAAGCTAGTAGAGGCCAAGCAGAGATGTCATAGAGATGAACGCTTTATGTGTAGAGAGAGACAGGTAGACTGCGGGGGAAACCATATTACTAATCCTTTGGGTAAACTTGTTCCTTATAATATGTATCTTGCGCCCTCAAGCAAGGAAAATTTCACAACTATTAGAACAGTTGCATTTATAAAAATAATGGAATTTTTGTAGGCAACTACATGAAGCCCAACCACAAATTCTCCTTAAAGAATACAGGTGCAGCAGTGATGGAGGACCTTAAATCACCTACTAGCAGCATGACGAGCCTTTCCGCATTTACTAGATCCTGGAACAGCAATCATACGGATTCGATTATTGAAATCACGACCTATAGGGACATCAACACGTCCCAAAACTGGGGAAGGCACTCCACACGTAAGACTGAGGTATACTCTCTTGATGGAGCGTTGCTTGAATTGTTCAGCTAAATGGGCATGAGAATGCTCATCCTGCCCCAATTCAAAGATAAAGAATTAGCAAAATTGTGCATAAGCCTAAGTGCAAATTAAACTATCAAGCACATGAGGCAATTTAGACCTAAATCACTGATTCCCTGAGAATGGAAGCAGGTATATCACCTTCGCAACAACAAGCAATCCACTGGTGCCTTTGTCTAATCTATGCACGATTCCAGGGCGTACAGATGCCTCGGATATGGCAGAACAGACACTTTCATTATAACTTTGCACTGTAGAAAAACTACTGAACTCGTCATCAGAAACATCTGCTTCCTCAGACAGTATTTCCTGATTAGGAAATGCTATGGTGGGAAGTCTGCAATGGTGAAGAATGCCATTTACAAGTGTTCCAGCAGCATTGCCTGGTGCTGGATGAACAACCTGGTTTATAAATTAAAATACGCTCTACTATGTTAGCCCAAAGGTTTAATAATAAGTAGCCACAAATTGATAATCATAAATAATTACTACCTTCACGATCTTTGTGGAACAACAAGTCTAAGTCAAAAGCTGGAGTTTCTTTCCCAGTTGACAAACATATGAACCTACCAAATATACTGTGAACTGTGTACATGAGATTGCCAGCACTGGCCCAATTCCTCGTATATTTGTGAGTGCAATTTGCTAAAAACAAGATATGCACAGAAATTGGAACCTAATATAGTAATCATTAAGCATAAATTATGAGGCCAATCTATTTATATGTACAACTTGATGCTGTTTTTCTCTGTTTGCACAAGTAGCAAGTCATGATAAACCAACAAAAAAAATGCACACTGAACACCATCCAAAACAGTACATGCTTAACAAATCTACTATACCTTGATGGAGATGCAAGGATGGTGGACTTGTTAGTCAACCCATGGTGTAAAATATGTTACTCGAACTCTGTGTGTGTGTGTATGTTGTGTGGCCAAGGCGCAGGGCTAATGTTAGTGTGAGTTAAATCATACGAATAAAACTACAAGTGAATTTAGATCCTCACCATGTGAGCTGGTTTGTTAACAACAAGTACGTGTTCATCCTCATATACTATATCCAAAGGTATATCTTCTGGTTCGGCCCTTAAAGGTTGCAACTCTGTTATTGTACAATCAATCTTATCCCCACGTCTCACCATGTATGAAACCTGCAAAGTACAAAAATTAACCACACAACAAAGATAAATTTTTCTCCTTTTTTTTTTTTATTTTCCTCAAGTTTATTGGGGACCTTTACAGAGAATAACTCCACAATTAACCGAATTACCTTATCGACAATTCGGCCATTGACGCTGACGAATCCCGACCGAATACTCGTCTGCACGCGAACTCTACTGATGCCAGAGATGTGGGAGGAAATCCAAGAATCAAGCCTGAGCTTTCCGGACTTGGCATCTACGGTCTCGTCCAATCTAACACCGGTATAATTGGTTCTTCGGCCGGAAGAGACTTCTTCGGAATGATTGGAATCTGAATCACCGGCAAAACCGTAACAAGCTCTGGTGCGTATTGAATCAGTGTAGGAAGAGAAAACTCTAGGGTTTCTATGGAAAAAGCAGAGAGAGGACGAGTAGCAGAGGGTTTTCGCGGAGGGAAGGGAGGTTGACGAAAGAGAGTATGGTAAGGGCATCCTCTTCGCTCTCACTTCACAGTGCCCCGAATGTGGGCGTTTTTTGGATTAAGATTTATGAAGGGTAGTTTCGGTATTAAAGATATCTCTGAAGGGCGTTTTAGGCATAGAAAACATAGAATCCCCCCCTTCTCAATCCTGGAACGACATCGTTTTCACTCAAATCTAAAAATTGTATTTATGAAGCGTTTTTACCTAAAAATTAAGAAAATTAGATTTCCTTATGTCTTAGGTAGGATTTCCTAGCAAATGAACTATGTTTTCATTTTTTAACTATTCCCCAATTTCTTTAATTTTTTTTGGATTATGCCATAATCATCTCAATAATGCAAATTTTTTTATTTATAATTATTATCTAGACCTCAAATAAGCACAATTACTTATAAATCTAATGCATTGATTCAACCCGAATTTATACAATTTATAATTCTCAAACTTAGTATTAGTAGTTTTTCTTACATCTTACTCTTTAAGATGACTGCTAAACCAATGCACGACTCGACTAAAATTTGTAAAGGGTTTTTTTTTTTCCTTCACTCTTAAACATGACTGCCATTGAATACATTTTCTTACTATTATAAGTATATAGATGAATTCCTTCACTCATGGGAAAGGAGAGAGACCAACCATTATGACTGGGCTGAGAGGCATTGCACCTCCCAAGGGAATACTATTCTTATAAAGAACGAAATCAATCAAATAAATCAATTTNTTTTTTTTTTTTATTTTCCTCAAGTTTATTGGGGACCTTTACAGAGAATAACTCCACAATTAACCGAATTACCTTATCGACAATTCGGCCATTGACGCTGACGAATCCCGACCGAATACTCGTCTGCACGCGAACTCTACTGATGCCAGAGATGTGGGAGGAAATCCAAGAATCAAGCCTGAGCTTTCCGGACTTGGCATCTACGGTCTCGTCCAATCTAACACCGGTATAATTGGTTCTTCGGCCGGAAGAGACTTCTTCGGAATGATTGGAATCTGAATCACCGGCAAAACCGTAACAAGCTCTGGTGCGTATTGAATCAGTGTAGGAAGAGAAAACTCTAGGGTTTCTATGGAAAAAGCAGAGAGAGGACGAGTAGCAGAGGGTTTTCGCGGAGGGAAGGGAGGTTGACGAAAGAGAGTATGGTAAGGGCATCCTCTTCGCTCTCACTTCACAGTGCCCCGAATGTGGGCGTTTTTTGGATTAAGATTTATGAAGGGTAGTTTCGGTATTAAAGATATCTCTGAAGGGCGTTTTAGGCATAGAAAACATAGAATCCCCCCCTTCTCAATCCTGGAACGACATCGTTTTCACTCAAATCTAAAAATTGTATTTATGAAGCGTTTTTACCTAAAAATTAAGAAAATTAGATTTCCTTATGTCTTAGGTAGGATTTCCTAGCAAATGAACTATGTTTTCATTTTTTAACTATTCCCCAATTTCTTTAATTTTTTTTGGATTATGCCATAATCATCTCAATAATGCAAATTTTTTTATTTATAATTATTATCTAGACCTCAAATAAGCACAATTACTTATAAATCTAATGCATTGATTCAACCCGAATTTATACAATTTATAATTCTCAAACTTAGTATTAGTAGTTTTTCTTACATCTTACTCTTTAAGATGACTGCTAAACCAATGCACGACTCGACTAAAATTTGTAAAGGGTTTTTTTTTTTCCTTCACTCTTAAACATGACTGCCATTGAATACATTTTCTTACTATTATAAGTATATAGATGAATTCCTTCACTCATGGGAAAGGAGAGAGACCAACCATTATGACTGGGCTGAGAGGCATTGCACCTCCCAAGGGAATACTATTCTTATAAAGAACGAAATCAATCAAATAAATCAATTTGTACTCTCTTTTTTTGCCAATAAATTGATAAAAAAAATAAAAAAATAAAAATTGTTCCTTTAAGAATTGTTTAGTGTTGTTGATTTGCAACTCAGCCATGTATTAGACAGCTTGGACAAGTATGAATTTAAACCTTACAATTTACCTACAAATACACCAATTGATTGAATTTCTTGCTTGGACAAGATTTCAAAAGTAATGCTTGAGTTTTGCTGTATAAAGTAAGAATCTCAACAATGCAAGTCAAACATAGAATTTATTATGAATGCGGTTGTAATGAACTTTGTATGTACAAACTCAAGAGGAGGAAGACCCCTCTCTCTGTCTCGAGCACAAATGTAACTAGATACATACAACCCGCCATTATTTCTTACCACTGCCATAGTGGAAGCAGTTTAACAGCTTTAGAAAAGGCGCATACAATTAAAATGCGCTAAGAGGGGATGGGAATATCCGATCAAGGTGCTTGAAACTGATGAAAACCAGAGAGCTTTCATTTCTTAAGAACAAGTAACTAATTTCATCTTTGTTGCCAGTCAGTTTACTGTTCCTTTCGTCATCATGGCTACAAACTCGTCATAATTAATTCTCCCATCCTACATAATGAAAATCAGTGACAATAGATCTTTAAATACTCTACTAGAAACAAAAATCAAGATTACATGGGATTACGGTAATTGACGATAAGTTTACTTACTTTATCAGTATCTACATCATCAATGACTTCATCAATAGTAGCTTCATCCCCCATTCCGTACTGGGTCATGGCGTCTCTTAGCTCATCTCTTGTAATAAATCTGATGAAAACAGAAAAAGGCATTGTGGGCCAAACAAACCAAACGTTAAAGAATCATTCCTCAAGAATGTCTTTATGTTTGCTTGGAGTAATCTCAAAGTCATGCTTTGAAATGTTTTTGACCGATAAATGGAACCAAGACACCATAGATAAAGATGGACAACCTGTAACCTTGCATTATTTCACACGGGTGAACTCCTTAGAAGTTCAACAAATTATGGTTTTTTCGCTTTGTTATGTGTACTACACATAACAAATCTTAAAGTTCCATCAGAGATGATTTATAAGAATACTAACCCACTGCCATCCCGATCAAAGTACTGAAATGCCTTAAACAGATTCTCCTCTTTGTTTAGTCTATGCCGATGCATAGTAGCTGTGATGAATTCCATCCAATCAATGGTCCCATTCTTATCCACATCAGCCTGGAAGAATAAATACATCCGTAATCAGCTTCTCTAATGAGCTTAAGTGGGGTTTAGAACTTCAGATAGGCTCATCATTTAACGCAGCAAATTCCCTACAATGTTAACACAAATTATGAAAACACTGAGAGGAGAATGTGACAGTCTTGAAATTCTTACAGCGTCCATCAGCTGTTGTATTTCTGATTCAGTAAGCTTTGATCCTAGCCTAGACAATCCTGTTTTGAGCTCGTCATATGTGATTGTGCCACTTCCATCCGTGTCAATGTTGTTGAACAAATGTTTCAAGCCCTTGGTTTCTTCTTCTGGAAGATTTTCTGCCATAACCTTTAAGCAACCCAGATACCAGTTTTTTGGTAAACTACCAAAAAAAATAAAAAAAAGGATATGCTGCATTTAAGAAATAAGAAGGGTGCAGTGTTGTTTCCTTTCCTTTTATTTTGTGTGTTTGTTTTTTTTTTTTTTTTTTTT